CTATCTATATCTATCTATCTCTATCTATCTATCTATTTATCTATCTGGATGTAACATGGATATAAGGGACCCAATACATGTATCTGTACAATTGGAATGCAATGTGATATATCCAATAGATCATCAACCATTGTTGCTAGTTGAAATTACCCAGAAGAGCAAGGAAATTCACAGAGCCTGACTGGAAGACTTCACCTTATCCTAACGTGTTCTGTCATCTGTGGGTCGGTCAAAAAAATAGGCAAACTGATTTGGCAAACCAATCAAAAATGATCTCAATTGGTGTTCATTTTATCTGAAGCTTAGCGCATTGTGTATATATATATATTTATAATATACAAACAATATGTACCTGTATATACATATATAATAAAGTCCCATCATATCTCACTATCAAACAAAACAAATATCACCATATCCATTCACTCCCTATTATATCGCTACTTTTCTTGGCTACAGTAATCCCCACAAATCCACCAACCCATGTCTTCTTCAATATAGTTCTTCCAAATTCTGGATTATTACAGGGTGGTGCCAGTTATACGTTGGTTTATAACCCTCTAACCCGCATTAACTAAAGATATGTAATATATTTCATCTATAATATAATATTTATTAATATATATATATATTAGAATTATGTATCCCAAAAACCATACTTAACTTATAGTTCCAAACCAATTTAGCTAAGTACGGGGCACCACATTGTGGTATTATCTTCCATCTATTCCACTTGACTGAAAAAAAAGGAGGGATTTGAAGCACCGCGTGCCCAGGTCGGGAGCCGCCTGATTCAGGAAGCGACTAGGATCCGGTAACCAGGGCCTGGACAGCCACATCAGAATGCCTCTGGGGTAGAATTTGAATAGCCATGCACATGTCATGTTTTTTCCCAGCTATAAACCTCCATTGCTAGGATTTTCCAGCCATGTTTGATGACACCTTTGCGGGGTTCATCAAGGTTTGATGGTAACAAACACTGAGCCATACACATGTCATGTTAGCCGAGCACACCTTCATCACACCCTCATGACGCCATGATGGTCAAAGAATGGACGTTGAAGTCAAGCCATGGTTGGATCTGCCATTGTTTTCCCCGAGATTACCATCTGGTTATGACTAAGACAGCCATGGAAAATCCCTTAATTCATGGAGGTATTAAGCTGGGAAAATCATCTATACATGGGCCATTTTCGATGGCTATGTTAGTCATAACCAGAGGGTATATCAACCCCCCGTTTTTTTAGACCTCTGGGCTGATTCATTTTAGCCGAAAAAAAATGCTAATTTGGGGGAAATGCCTCATGAACCAACCAGGGTCTATCAATTCGTTGATCTTGGTAATCCAACACAGCTGGGTTGCGCAGCTGTGATTCCAAGTAGGTCTCAGCTTCTTACGACAATGCGGGCCACTTCAGGAAGAAAGCCAAACGTAGAGCCTTGCAGAAACTGGCTCGGACTCACTAATCATCTTACTTGTGCTTAGCGAGGGAATGAGGGAATGATCCATAATCACTAGTAATAATAACCCCTTTCCCCCAATAACATCCATTCCCTACTAAGCACCAGTAAGTCATTCAAGCCTTCAAATCAAACATATGGCAAAGCCTGTAACAAACCAGAAATAGATACAAATAGCTGATCTCACTATGCAATGCCAGGTTCTACCAACCCCCTAAAAATGGGACTTATCATGAGTTATCGATCTTCATCCCCAGTGGTCACCATGTCATTTCCCTGTGGATACCATGCCCCTGTGAACACCCCTTGAGGTCACCAGCAAAACATCACAGATACCGTTGGGGGTTCACAAGAAATAGCAGCAAAACATAGACCCAACAGCGATCTATATGTATGGTAGGTGTATATAAAACTGGTTGGTGGTTCATAATAATGGTTAATGATGATGGTTTTTATGTGGTTAATGATGGTTAATAACATTTTCTGGTTGGTGTTTGAGCCCTACCCCTCTGAAAAATAGGAGTAAGTTGGGATGATGACATTCCTAATATATGGAAAGATAAAACATGTTCCAAACTACCAATCAGATAAGTTGTGGGTCCCAACACGGACCAAACATGGTGTAGGATCACATTTTTTGGGTCCCTATCAGCCCTATCATCCTATCTTTATCATGCAAGTTCAGGCCGCACACCCTGTGGACATGGTATCATACCGGCCTGGAAATTGAACCCGGCAATGAACCATCCGTTATAATGGAAAAATCACCGGCATATGCCTATCTGGATTGACAGCCATGGGATTTTCCCTTGCCACCGGAAGATACTCCGTACTCCGTGATTTCAAGAGGACTGGGGCTATTGAGTTACCCTCTGGTAAACTAACATAGCTATTGAACATGGCCATTTATAGTGGATTTACCCATTAAAAATGGCGATTTTCCATAGCTATGTTGGTTTACCAGAGGGTATTCTTTTTTTGGCGCAATTGCGTCTCAGCGAGACTGGCAAGCATAGATTGGCGAGCACACTCATCTTTGCTCGTATCTCCATGACTGATTGGTTAACTCGTATTCCCCTTGGCTGCCTCACTGTTCTTGTTGCATGGAAGAAAGGCACCTTAAACAGGGACTTGTTATTTGCATTTATTTATCTGGTAACTAGATAACATAATAACATTAATATGATACATTCCTATAGGGGAAAATCATAAATTTTATTCGGACAATGAAACATTCCTAATTCTAATTTATAATTTTCCCACATAACCATTACATGTTCCACATAAATGTGAACATTTCTAGGGGATTTCCAAGGCATGTCTGAGGGTCCGGAAGGTGCGTGCTCGAAAAACTTGCGGGAAAACCTGGCGATGTTACTTAAGGATGTGCTTAGTAAATGGAAAATCATCCCAGACCTACTTATTACATGGAAAACACTTTAGGCATAGAATGGTATACATGGGTTACAATGAGATGAAAATTGTATCCCCTTACTAAGTGGGACATACCCCCGAAAAGGTGGAAAGAGTTGTAATATCCACGGCCAGGATACCCACTTAAATAGCATGGGCATTTATAGTAAAGCATCCAACTGGGGAATAGTCAAATCATGACCCTCCTTAGTCTTAACCCATAGGATCCATGGTGCTGGAATATGAATCCCAACATTTGCCCCATAAATAAATGTCCCAGTTTTGTAAGTTTTTAAATACCAGCACCGCACCGGATCCGTCATGGGTAACATGTTTTGCCTGATGTCAGACGGCCCCCTTGTGTACAGTACCCCTCCGAGGCTCCAGATTGCAACCGCGCCGCGCCTCCGCCTCCGCCTGCGGATCGATACAGCTTCGGAGCTTTGTCCTCCAGCGGCCGTGGTACCGCAAATCCTCACCTAGTACCAAGTAACATGGTGAATGATGAAAACATATTTCAACTTGCCAAGAAGTCGAGGAAGGACACATAGTTAGACAATTCCTAGATGCGTCCATTTCTGTTGACGCGCTTCATTTATTCTAATGGTATTGAAAATGAAACACAACAATGAACTGCAATCACCAAAATGCATCAAAATGCTAGAAAGATCTAGAAAGTCCAAATGATCACTTGTTTTAGTAGGATTTTTTACAATGTTCATCAATTTTTCGATCTTATTCTTTGGGGATGACTATGACCATCACCAACCAGACCGGTCTTTCAGATCCCAGATCCAGGTCGACCAACTGTGGCCCCCGGCAGCAGCGTCAGGGTAAAGGCTGACCCCTCAAAGGCGCGCGAGGGGCGGTTCCGAAGAAGATCACCTTGGGCCAGTTGGCTCGGAGGAGGCATGATTCGATGTTAGATCGTTTTTGTTGGGGATGGGGATGGGGCGGGGTTGGAAGAAGACATTGGGATATAAGCATATATATAGATAATTATAATTGATTATGTACATTATCATCCATTTATCCAATTAAAGAAAGATAGGGATATCATGTACCTAATGGGAATTTAACAAATTGGGAAGAGATTCGATTTATGGGAGGAATAATGACAGCCTCCTTGTTCAGTTGCGAGTTGAAGATGGTTTATGGTTTATGGCACTGTCAATTCCACATTATAATAATGTATGATATTGTATGTCTGTATGTCAAAGTATATATATATATATTGTATATATATATATATACGTATATATTTGTACGTATATTTATATATATATATATATACGTATATATGTGTACGTATGTAAGTATATATATATATATATGGGCCATTATGGGCCTACTGATCCGAATCTAGAGCCTCCCCCTTAGAGCTGGGGTGGTTCTCTGTTGGGGAATGATTTTTTAGGGCCCCCTAAATTCCTGGCCTTCCTGAAATTCCTCAGGGTCCCATTGATCGGCTTGGATCGGGTTGATCGGCTATACCATTTCCTAACGGCAGACCAATCGAATAGGTGGTGATGTTCAGCCAGAAAAATCATGCAGAATTGGAACTCAGAATACAATCACAATTCTGAAAAACAGCACTCGGGCTGTGTATCGGAATATATTTGGCGTACAACAAGCAGATCTAAGCCACGCCTCGCTCCACCAAGTGGCGGGTGGGGCAGACCAAGCCCAAGGATGCAACCTGAATCCGAGACTACCAGTGTTGGAATTCAGATGGAGGTAGTAACCTTCAAAGTATTTGGTGATGTTCATGTATCCCATAGGATCCATGGTGCTGCTATATATGGTAACATTTACCACCAATATACCCCAAATGTTAGCATATATACCATACATGGATCCTATGGGTATGGCTCTTGAATGTATGTTGGCTTGATCCGACACAACGATTTTCATGAATGAATTGGAGTCTTGTGGCTGTAAAAGGACACGGTTTTGCTCTGGGTCGGTATGACCACCTCAATTCCTGCCCAGGACTGCAGAAATTCACTTCAGGCACCACAGAAATTGCCGCGAGGCCTTTTTTTCTTCAGTCCATGGTCGAAATCTTTGCGACTCCGGACATCCGAAAGTGCCCCCTTCCGGCCCCGCCATGTTGACAGGATCCACTACGCTGGCGCTGGTGGCGGTTCCTCCTGATTCCAAAGCTTCCAACCAGTTCCCCACCCAGGTTTACCTCATGGGTAAAATGGATTCCGTATGGAAACAGCTGAGGTGAAACTGAGAATTTTCATCACCTTCTACCATCTTTCCAGGATGTTCTACATATTTCTGCAGTGAATCTGTTTCAAACATGTTCGCTGCAAACCCTAGGTTTGCCCGCGGCGAATCCCGCATATCCTTTGACATGCTCAAATCCATGCGTAGGGTTTAAGTTTTTTACTTTCCAAAACAACAAACCTTAAAACCCTAAAACCCTAAAACCCCAAAACCCTAAAACCTAACCCCAAACCCTAGATTAATACCCTAAATCCTGAAAACTTAAAGTCTAAATCACTGCGTATAGCCAATGTTTTCATTCATCCTCTGGTGGTAAGTATATCATATTGTTTGGATATGTTGTTTGAGTGTGGGCGAACCCGGGGTTTGGAGGGAACATGTTCTTTCGATGTTCTTGATGTTCTTCCACTTTTCCAAATTTCAACCAAAACAACTCAGCCGAACATCCATCCCATGCTGTCTGAAAATGATACCCACAATTTCTGGCCATTTCATAGGATATTCACCAATGGTTAACCATGGTTACCCTCTGGTAAACAAACATAACTATTGAAAATTGCCATTTATAGTGAATTTTCCCATTCAAAATGGTGATTTTCCATAGTTATGTAAACGTTTACCAGAGGGTAAGCAATGGATTTGGGACCCATGATCCATACCCCCAAGTCGTCCTGGAAGTCCAAGGTAGACCCCGAGGCCGTTCCGGCCAAGGTGCCCTTGTGCAGCTCCGAAGCGGCTCCGTCCTGGTGAGGTGAAAATGGACCACTCTGCACTGGGAATTTTGAGATAAACCCATCTGAGGCTGCAAATTTACTTGTAAATTATATATCTATATTGTATAATATTATATATATATATGTATATAATGTTGTATATATATATATGTACATATATATTTATACATATAATATTACGGCCAGGCGCTATGTGTTGCCCGGAAGGTTCAAATGGCGTTTAAACATGTTTAAACATTATCCTTCAACATGCTCAAACACCTGCACAGGGCCAGTGTTTTGACATTTCCCAGACGACGAACACTAAACCCTAAACCCTAAACCATCCTAAACCCTAAAACCCCAAACCCTAAAATCCTAAACCCTAAAACCTAGTCTCTGAAAGCTTTGAATCCTAAACTGGAAAACACTCCGTACATGCACGCAATATTTTCTGCAATCTCTCCTATCATATATGTATATATATATATATATATTCGACAGCACGACATTCTCTTTATGTTAATCTCTGGGCAACACAGTTGGGTCTGTGGGTAATATTATATCATAAAATTATCTATATTATCATTATATATATATATATATTGTTTATATAATAACATATATATATATATTTATCAAATTAAATATTAAGATGTAAAATGAAGCATAGCCAGCTGTCAGGAAATATGGTGGTACCTTTTTCCATCGTCCCGTGAGGATGGCCAAAATAACACAGGTGACGTCGCTACAATGCCGACGTCACAGTGTCAGAGTCATCTATAAGACTTTTATCTATGTGTTGGGATGACTTATAGACTTATATATATATATATATATATACAATATGTATATATATAGAGAGATCAGACTATCTAAAAAAAAACTGACTGATCTAAAAAGGTATCGACATGTATCTATGTGTGTATATATGTATTATAAATATGTCTTAAAACATGTATTATATATATATGATATACATATTCTCTACATGTATCTGGTTGGTGGTATACCTACCCCTCTGAAAAATATGAGTCAGTTGGGATTATTATTCCCAATATATGGAAAAATAAAACATGTTCCAAACCACCAGCCAGGTATATTATATATAATGATATAAAATGATATAAATATACATATGAGCGATCGGCAAAACTTCAATTGTAAAATGCGATCTCGGGGCAAAGTTATCGTTTTTGGGACTTCACTATATCGTTTTACAGTATATCCTGATTGCATCATCCGCATCCCCTGGCAAACTGCATGCGGAAAGCCTTTTTACACCTCCACTTCGCGTCTTGGGCATCTTTGACTGCCCTGCGCTTTCTTTTCCAGCGCTTCAACTGTATGGTGGGTGTGGTGTGATACCTGCCAACACAACTGCAAATCACAGTTGCACCATCCTTTCTCCAGCTCAGAAACAAGTTTTGAATTCAGTTTGTTGGAGGAAACCCGGGTGAGCTCTCACAGCGACATGCTCCATGCCTTTCATTCACTCGCCAGCGTCTGCGCAGCAAACCATCGACCTGGTCCAACGCCTTTGCCTTGGCTATCTTCATCTAGGATAAAGATCGTCAAACCGGACCTGCAGGTGCAGTTGTGCCTGAGATGAACCGGGATTGACTAAAGCAGTGGAGCGCTGCAAAAGAATATGCATAGCAGCGAAAAGATCGCAATGAGCAAGTGATAATATTAAACGGCAAAGGTCTCAAGAATCTTTTGGCATCTGGGCCATCCATCAGCGAAGGACATTTTGTCAAGAAATTGTTATCGTTTAGTTATCGTTTTCGTTATCGTTCAAAGAGGGAAACATTTTTGGGAAAATGGCATGAACCAAGGAAAGTTGGAAAGGATACCTGTTGTCATCGTCACTGCTTGCATGAAAGCGCGGAACTCATCCGAAAGGCTTGAACAATGGCGAGACAAAAAGAGCATCCAAATCCAGCTAGTTACTACATAACAATACGTGATTCAGTGATTGGATACAAATAAAGAAATTGGCCTAGATCAAGAGTGTCAGCATACTTTTGCACATCTTCCGTAGTGTGAGCTGGGCATGACGTGTACCCCACAACTGAGAGCCTAGATGATCTACATGCTTATAGAACAGGTATCCACCATCATGTCATGTACACAACCCCTTCACTTCCCACAATGCTTTTACATATAATATGATTCCCAGGTTATCGTTTTTGGGACTTCACTATATCGTTTTACATATCAAGATGCATATTTTTACATACGAGAGCGCTCGAATACATACCTCCTACACGAAGAGTTTAGCCTCTTGCTCATATGTACAGTACATACATAGCAATAAAACTGATTCTATAAACTATATACCTCAAGACACGCACATAAAGCCAAGTCTGCGGCATTGTGTGGCTACAATCCATCCAGGAAATGGTTGGCCAACCATCCGATTCTGGGGGCTATCAGTTTGAGCCATATACCCTACTGGCAACTGAGGTCCAAAGCAGCACGCTTGGTCAGTGAAACCCAAAGACTGTGACGGTTGAAGGGACCATTGGACCATTTCCATTTGGCTGATGGGTTTCATGTTATGTCACTTGTCTGAAACCCTGAAGACTGACGACCTACTTCCGATCAGCTGTTGCATCCAGCCGTTCTTCAAGAGACTTTCAGATTGGTTTTGTCAAGCTTGGGGATTCTATAGGCACTGCTGTTGCGTAAAACCTGCATTGATTGGTGGTCCTCATGCTTATCATCCCAGCCACCTTTTCATTTTTTCCCCGCTGCCCGTAATTACTAAATCCGCTTCGCTAATTGAACATGATTCGCTATCAATTTAGGCTCCAATGGCAAAAAATGGCAACATTATCTATAAATGAGCGGATTTCCATTGCCATGTTTGATGACTGGAGGGCTACCCCCAAGCAAAATGGTGGTTTTTATTGGATCTATGCATCTGTCAGTGTTGCTCCAAACGCCCCAGGTACAAGGGTTGATAAATTGGGTACAGTAAAGATAGAGGCAAAATGACCAATTCCACCCCCCCAATGCGGCTATCATTTGCCTAGACGGGAGAGTAATGACTTGGAACAACCCTCTTTAACCATGAAAAAAATGGATTTACCCTCTGGTAAACTAACATAACTATGGAAAATCACCATTTTCAATGGGTAAATCCACTATTTCTATGGCCATGTTCAATAGCTTTTTGTATGTTTCGCAGGCCGGGTAAACCATGAAATCATGCTGGAATATCTCGGATCCTCCTCGTCACGAAGTGACACCTTCCACAACAGCTGTTCTTCGGCGAGTTCCAAGGCTGCATCAATCTTGTGCCTGGCACGCGCTGTGGCGCTGTGACTCTCGGTGCCTTGGAAGTTATAGAACTTTCGTACCTGAAAATGATGGGAAAACCATGGGAACACCATGGAAAACCATTGGGAACACCTAATTTGGTCTCTGTAAAATACCATGTTGATCCAGGTTTGATGGATTTTGTTGACATCCCCCACCACCAGACAAGCCCTTGTGCAGCTGGGAAACATCCAAGCCTCGAACATTGGTCAAAAAAGGTGCCACATCAACTATGGGCCCGGAATTGTTTTGGATTTTGTTTTCCATTTTTGGTAGATCTGCCTTTCCGGCCCTTTTCCTTGTTATTTGCAGCATTTTGAAGCAAGAAGCTGCTATTTCATCTGTATTTGCAAATTTTTTTGGTGCTCAAAATATTCATGTTGCATGGTATTTTGCGACTAGGGTTCATGCAAGGTTGGTTTACGTTTGTTTTATACCGTTATATATGGGTATGGGTCAAAATTCGGTACCCCAACAATTGGATGGTTAATACTAAACTAGACATTTCCATCTGTGGTCCCACATCGGTCTTCCATTTTGAGCCACATCCATATCCCCGTTTGGATTGGGAGAAGGAGTTGGACCCCCCCTCTTCCTAGTCATGGCACAACCCCAGCGTCTACAAACACCTTGGCACCTGGAAAAACCCGACCTCTACAAGAAGCTCATTGCATTTTTACCCCGAAAAAACTACTCCAAAATGACATCTTTAAAAAATACTGTGCATTCAGCATGATGTTCATAACATGTCATAACAATTGGTTGGTCTACAAGTGCTGGGGAGCCAACCCAATTTTTTGGTATAAAATAGAAGCAGAGAAGCAAAGGAACATCAAAGCAGAGAAGCAGGGAAAAGCAGAACAGCAAAGTTACGGAGGGAAACAGACATCAACAACATGCCCATAAAACGTTAAAAAGCAACATAATTCTCAAAAAAATAGCCATCCATCAACTTCATAGTACTCTTACTATATTAGTAGCATTAGGATGATCCACGTAGTGCCACAAGTGGCCTGAAGCCTCTGGGCCCTCTGGGCCCTCTGGGCCCGTCCCTGCTTTTGGGAGATACCTCCGCCGTCAGATGGGTCTTGGTATGTCAAAATGATGTTTTTTTACTAAAGGATGTTAAAGGGAGCCGGGAAGCCACTCCACCTCCCAAGAAGACCAATTGGCTGATGGCAGCCCAAAATCAATTTGGCTAGCATGGATTTATAAACGTACGAAGATTCGATTTGACATGTAGTAGATACGCTAAAGCTTGGATCTTGGAATACATTGGGCCAAACACCTGATGGAACAAGTCTTGCCCTTCCCCAAGTCTTGCCGTTTGCGCATGTAGAGAGACAACCCTGACTGGTTGGTGGTTTCACATATTATATATATAATAAATTATATATATATATATATGTATACATTATGGATAATTATATGATATGTCATTATAATTACACATACTTATATAGAGATACATAATATATACACACATTTATTCATATATAAACATATATATATATATTACATACATGATTCATGTCTTTTTTATTTTCCATCCCTACTGACTTGGGAATATGACCACAGCCAGCATGCTCAACCATGCAAAACTGCAAAACTGATGGGTTGAAGGAGGGTCACCAAGAAAATTTCCCACAGCTCCGGCATGCGCCGCCTTCGCTTCCACTGCGCGCTGTAGCACCGCCATCTGCAGCGCAAGGTCCTGGTGTTTGTGGGCGTAATGTTCAGAGAATCAGATGGTTAAAAACACCAACCAAGTCAGAGAATGGGGGAACCCAACATCATCTGGTATCAGATAGAAATTGGATGCTGGTTGGTGATTTAACCATCTTGAAACATATGAGTTCGTCAACGGGGTTGGGATGACATCCCATATATGAAATGGAAAATAAAAAATGTTCGAAACCACCAACCAGGATGGGAAATTTGCAGGATCCCAAGAAAATACATAAATTATTTACTTTTCTCCTTTCTGGAGGTTACCGTCTACCGTAAATCTGAGCATTCTAAAACCACAGTCCAGGAGCATTAGTTGGTCGAACATGTTCCAACATCTTCACTCAGTAAAGGTGGCGAAATCTCAAACCCATCTAGAATCACCAATCATTACAGCTCATCCAGTGAGTTTCCCAACACTTCAGTCGGTTCATCAATGGCCATTTCAGGAACCTAAATTGGAGGTACCTACCATATATAAGGCCTATTTTTCAGGGCTATGTAAGGGGATATACCCCCAAAATATGGCCTTATATGGTACAGTACCTCCATTTTAGGATCCTGAAATTCCCATTGAGTTCATGTTTCAACTGGCGTCAACTGGCTACAACTTCTGGCGGGCTTTCCATCACCCAGTCGGCACTGATATGTCGGCACCTGCAGCTGCTGCTGGGTGGCTGCCACCAAATCCAACAGCTCACTCCAGGGTTTGCAGCTCCAGGTAGTAGCCATCATCTGTGGAAAGTCACTGACACTGGGATCATTGCCCCCGGTGCCCCCTTGAATTCGTCTCGGGAAACAACACATTAGTGGTGAACATATAGACTAATCGTTGTGGAAACAAGGCATTCGAGCACATCACACGTGCCAAGTGAGGAAATAAATCTATAAATTCGAGAATCGTAACTGTAACTCTGGAAATAACTAAATCTGGATATGGAGAATTCAAGCAACAAAAAGAATACGAAAAGTGGCCAAAAAAATTGGGGAACTATAGCAACAAACATGGGACCTCTGCCCAAGCACCCATTGACCCCAAAATTTTGGCGGATTGTGCACCACTCCTCGGATGTCCCTGAAAGATCTTGAAAGTAATGCTTTGTGCCTGAGCTATCTACCAATCCTAGAAAATAGAAAATATATTCTGGAATCCTAGAGATATATTCCCTAGAATCCTAGAAAATATCTCACAGTTTCCGAATACAAAACGTGCTGCTGGATCACCTACCAGGATCATCCAAGTTCTTGGTGATGGGAAAAGAACGACGGGTGTCCCACGCTTTGCTGTTTTGGGCGCCAGTTTTTCTTTCTGGCGCCAGAAACGCGCATCTCTAGTGACTCTAGGGATGCCCATCCAAAAATAGTGAAAATCCCAGTAGATTCCATATTCTGGTGGATTAGCCAATGTGAAAATTAACAAAGCATCGACTCTGCGAAGCCTAGTAAATTCAGTTTTGTCCATTCTTTCTATGAAAACTCCCCAGTTCTTGTTGGTCAAAGCCTCACTTCTTGTTGAACGTTCCACCATCCATATTTCTGGATAAGTTGAGTTCACCAACCTGAAGCAAGGCTATGGTTATAGTTTCTTGGTTAAGCCCCCTTTTTTGTTGGACTGGATATTCCATGAAACATCCAACACTTCTGAATACACATATTGCCCATGACGGATCCATGGTGCTGGTATATATGCTAACATAAAGGGGGTATATTGATGGGATCCATGTTACCATATATAGCAGCACCATGGATCCTATGGGTTGTAGTGTATCATACTTTGAAGCCCATTTTTATCATGTACCCAACGGCATAAACCTACCATTTAGGGATGAATGGAATCCAACCCATCAACATCCGATAGAAACATGGCATTAGGTGAATCCCACATAAATCGCCTACCTTCTGGTAATTTAACAGTTCGCTATTGAAAATGGTGATTTATATAATGTATCTATTAACGGGTGAGTTTCCATATCAAACCGTTAGTTTCCCAGAGGGTATGTCTGGGCTGGCAACTCTCCACCCTCCAAAGCTCCCCAAAAAGCTCCGCACCTGAACGCCCTGCGCAGCTTCTGTCACCGCACGCAGGAGTTGCTCACTGTCGACCTGTCGGGCGCTCGTATGCGCTCGTGGATCAATGGTCAAAACCTATTGAAGCAATAGTTGTAGAACCCCCCAAAAGTTGAAACTTAAAATCCAATTCAAAAATAGCAGGAAATTCATGTGCTATCTTGGGGTTACTATACTTGATGACTAATTCTTGAAAGGTCAATGTCAATATTTGGTGAGAATTATACAGTCAGTATACAGTGTACAGTATACATATAGTGAGAAGTTGGGGCTCCTTTTTTTAATCTTGGGCATCATCAATGGTTTGCCCAAAAAGGGGTAACCGCCGAATCCGAGACTTTATCATCATCACTTTCAATCTTCGAAGTTCTCTTCTGGGGCCCTTCCGGCACACCTGCTCCGTTGAATTCAAGAGGGTACAGCACAGTACGAGTACCATTTACTCGCAAATAAACTCACAATTTAAGGGTTACCACCCCCAGGAATAATGACTGCTATGCTGTACTTAACCAATGAACATTGGGACCAAAAGGTGGAGATATGCGCCAGAACCAATTAAATAATGGCGATCAATGGTCCAGAACCATCATTAAATTAGTTCCTCACTAAACTAAATAAGTACCCTGGATCGGAGGGGTTTAGATCGGAAACAAATTTCTAACCATCAGTAAGATGATAAACACGAACAAAACCGAAGAAAAATGATATAATATGAAAAAAACATGGAAAACATGGAAAAAGCGAAGAAAATTGTTTTTTATCGTCTGAAACCATATGCACATGGCCATCGTCATAATCCACCAAACGTGTTATTTCTGGTGATTTTTGAGTTCATTAATCACATCTTTATACTTATATTAGTCATAGAAACCCACCTCTGTAGATTTCCACACCGCTGGAATAGAAATATCAGTTACATAGAGTTTTGTTTCCTCTGGTGTTTCTGAGTTTTCGTTTAACTCCACTGAAAAGTCAGGCGAAGATTTTGATTGAGCATTGCGATACTTACTATCTACAAAAATAGTTTTATATGTTTATCTATTACTCATGACTCATGATTAGATCTATTATTAGAAATGATTTTTATCAAACATTAATATAAAAATAAATGATTGGAGTTGTAGCAGGAGTTGGAAGAATAGCAATGACTAATGCATTGAGACAGGTGGGAAGGCAGTTTGGGAGAGAGGTTGTTCAGAGAATTATGGGAGGTGAAGCAATAGAACATGTATTAACAAGAGAAGAGATGAGATTATATATTCGCAAAAAGAATAGGTAGAGTAGCATTTGAAGAATTAATGCGTCAAGGAAAAGAAGAGTTGATGAACGACACGGACAAGAAACAAAGAGACTTAGATGAGAAGATGAACAACTTTGCAAGAAATCTTAATGAGCAATTCAGACAAAATACAACACTGTATAAAGAAGAAAGGAACATAGCCAACACAAAAGCAACAGAAGACAGACACGGATTGACAAATGCATACAGAAGCCCATCGGGATTATATAAGACAGGCAAGACGCTTTATTTATATATCAGGAACGGGTGGAAAAGATGGAAGTATAAACAGAGACATTTTAGATTATTTATTAAGGTTACCTACCAGCAATGCACACAACACCGAAAATATAAAGATGTGATTAATGAACTCAAAAAAATCACCAGAAATAACACGTTTGGTATCACATGTCCCTCAGATAATATATAATCCACCAATTTACCTGTATCCCAACCAAATAAAAAATGATATAGAATGATATAAAAATAAAAAAAATGATAAAAACATGCGTTTTAATGGGATAACATGCTTAAATATATGAAAAAGTGTTTTTTAATGCGTTTTTAAGTTATTTTGAGTTTATTTATGCGCATGGGGGTTCACAAAGTCTTCTGATCTAAACCCAGCTGATCTAGGGTACTTATTTATTTTGGTGAATTCCTGAATTTTCCCCAAACTACACATACTGGCAGAGATACGACAAACCATTGGAACGAGGGACTCCCTGACCACGGTCACGGTATGCCACGGTTGTTTTTCTTTGATTACTCTCCATACCGGGAAAATTCTCTGAGAAAACATGATTCCCTCAGGTTTTTTGATGTTTTTCTGCACTGAGAAATTGGAAACGCACATCCTGAGATCCCCAACCGCCCAGCAATAAACATAGAGATGATATGAGATTATGATAGATGATGTTGTCTGTTGTTGTTTGTTGCCAATATTCCAATAGTTGAATTTTCTAAAAATTCATTCGTGTCGCAACCAAAAAATCCATAACCCGCACCTCTTCTCCTGTTTCATCCCTGGGCAAAGGAAGGAATCTTTGTGAAATCCTCATGTTTAGAGATTCTATGTCCTTTCCCCTCCCTTAATAAAACGTCGCAATTGAAATATCCCTGGTAAATGGATTTGCTATTGGAAAAATATGAAAAAATCATCTATAAATAGGTGGATTTTCCAGCAAACCACGTTTGATTACCGGAGGGTATAGATTGAACCAACGGCAAAATCCCATTTTCCTCTAATCTGCAGGAAACCCCAATCAGTTGCATGGGGAATGTTTTTTTCCATGATAAAACAAAAACAAATCGACCTACAATCCAGTGACATTTTCCAAGGTAAAAATCATATGAATTATGACTGCTGGAAAAACACGCAGGAGGGTTGTTTGACCCAGTTTCCCAATTTTTTTGCAACATCCTGCAACCAACTCTCAATGGACCTGGATGAGGCTTGACGGAATAATATGTCCCGATCATCGCAACTCAATCTCCTTCTAGCTGGTCCATGTTTGAAACATCTTGAAACCACCAAGCAAAACCAAGCAAACAACTACTGGAACCAGAAGTGCTCAAAGGCCCTTTGAGAGGCAGATTTCCGGAACTGCGATGCCGCCTCTCGGGCGGTGCTGAAGGAGGTGCTGAAGGAGGTGCTGAAGGAGGTGCTGAAGGAGATGGAGCCTTCGAAACGATTTTTCCATGAAAAAAATGGATAGAAAATGCAGTTGAACATGTCAAAAATCTGGAGGTTCGTTCATGATATTTTGTAAATATCAAAAACCTCGATGTTGGTCACCATATTCTGAAATACATAATGCATATTAAAACCTAAATATATATATATATATATATAACCAGTCAAACATTTGCCTCGGTTTCTGACTTTCAGATTGGGCAAACAAAGAATCACCCAGGTGTCCAAGAATAGAAGATATGATGATAGTAGGTGGGTAGGTAGGCAGGGAGGTAGGTAGGTAGGTAGGCAGGCAGGGAGGGAGGCAGGGAGGGAGGTGCTAAAACACAAAGTTGATGTGTCACTGATGCAGGCAGTTGGCTCTCTGATGTTTTCCACTGATGGAACTGCTCAAGGGCCCTGATGAGCCCAGATGTCGTGGACACTCGATGTGTCGCTGATATACCCTGCATGATGTACATGAGGATGCATGTATGTTAACACACCTCCTTGGCACAAAGATGTTTCAATCTTTGATGCCACAACTGATGCCAACAATCCAAGTAACTGAAACTGATGTTAAAACATGATCGCTACCGATGGTGCTCTGACAAGACCCATAAGCATTAGATTGCTACTTTGATGCGCAAAAGCCTGTATAGTTGATGTCGATTACATCCTAGGATATTACTTCCCCGGACGTTTCTCTATCTTGAAATTTCGATTTGTCTCTCAGATGGTCTCTTCGATCTCATCCATAGGTTCGTCAAAATGATGAGATGGAACAGAGGGATGTTCTTCCTTGTTGGGTCGATGATTATCCCTGATGTACTCCAACATCTCTTTCAGGTAGATGTGGTGCTCAGGATGTCCTCTGAAAGGTAGGGAGGTAGGGAGGTAGGGAGGTAGGGAGGTAGAGTGGTGGTAGTGGTAGTGGTAGTGGTAGTGGTAGTGGTAGTGGTAGTGGTAGTGGTAGTGGTAGTGGTAGTGGTAGTGGTGGTGGTAGTGGTAGTGGTAGTGGTAGTGGTAGTGGTAGTGGTGGTGGTGGTGGTGGTGGTGGTAGTGGTAGTGGTAGTGGTAGTGGTAGTGATAGTGATAGTGGTAGTAGTGGTAGTGGTAGTGGTGGTAGTGGTAGTAGTGGTAGTAGTGGTAGTAGTAGTAGTAGTAGTAGTCGTAGTAGTAGTAGTAGTAGCAGCAGTAGCAGCAGTAGCAGCAGCAGCGGTAGCAGTATCAGCAGTAGCAGTAGCAGTAGCAGCAGCAGCAGTAGCAGCATTACATATGCTTCGGTTTTTTTCAGCAAATTTCAAAATATTGCCATTGCCAATTTTATTGAAAACATATATATATATATATATACACAATATGGAATGCTCGGTCAGAAATGATCGCCATATTTCAATCCACCAACCAGAGAAACCCTAGCAACGATTCAATTCATTCTGAAAAAGTGCTGAGAAATAGGTGGGATGAGGTGCATTGAAGACAAACGAAACTCTACATCCAAAAGTCGCATTTCCGCACCCAACTTTGGGCTCCGCACAGCTTCCGTCGCCTGGACCTGCAGCCATGACCAATCTTGGATGCCCTGCATGTGATTTTATAGATGACTTAATAGCTGGTTGGTATATCCCTATTTATGGCAAAAAGATGAACTGAAGTACGCAAGCTTTGTCGAACTGGGAACCCAAATAAAACGTCAACCTTGGTGGTACCTGGGTGGTACTGGTTGTTTGGACATGAAAAATGTGAAGGTCAATTTGGGGATAATCCTTTTTTGGAGGAAGGAAATAAACAAGCCATATCTGAAACAAACAGCAAAAACATGGGCAATATATGGTAATATCTTGCAGATGCCTATAGGATTGCTGGCTAATTCAAACACCCATCTAAATCAATAACACCATTTTGGGTCATTACAGCTCCACTTCTTGTTTGTAAACACTGCCACCATCCTTAAGCATTTTGCCCTAAAAAAATGACACCACATCTTCAGACTTCCAGCCGTCTGGATGTTTCCCAAAAAAAGGGGAAACACCCCCATTTGGCTAGTCCTTGCCCCGATTGATCAAAAACAACAAACCGAGAACTAGGCTTCGAAATAGGCACTAGATTATAGTACCGAAATTTATTCATTTTATCCAGTACCTCAGCAGGCCAGAGAGTCTCAAAACTAGGGGTGCCCCATGTTTAACAACCAACTGGGATGGCCTCACCCAGAGTTTTCCTCCTGTGAATGACACAACTTGGATTTGTCGAAGGCCCTGCGGCGCCGCACCTTTGCATCTGAGCCACGAACTTCACGTGCCCAGAAAGGAGCATCCGTCTGCACCTGTGAAAAGTGGATCATCGAGAAGTTGTGAGCAATAGCCTGGTAATTGAGCGTTTATCATAGTTTTTCATATGTTTGAGTGGGTCTGGGTGAACTCAACATGATTTATTATTAACATGGTTCAATATACATCCCAGTTAGTGTGTGGTCCATTTTTTTCGAATGGTGTGGTGACCCAGTGATAACTGTGACAAACGCAAGTTACATATGTTTCATTGATCACTTGCTAAGTGGGATGCCCATCCACCAGATTTGGCATGGATCCCCAGGAAATGAAACAACTCCCTCGATTTGCTAAGTGTTCTCGAGGCGCTCGTCTTTGGAGAGCTCACTAATGATAACCCACACGAAAGAAAGCGGATATGATACTGTATGATTCATCATGAAAAAAAAACGGCTGAGCGTTGAAGCACCAAGTTTGCTGATATTTTGCAACCAACTGCAGAAGTAGCCAATTAGACTATATGAACAACCAGGGAGAGGCCTAATTAGGCCAGTCTTCGAAACAAGGACATCAAATTCACAGCATCATGAGCACATTTCAGGCCTCCAAAATCCATGTCCCACATCAATATCAGTCAGGCTTGCCATTGAACCAATCAGATGGCGTTGGGTCAAACAATCGGGTACCCATAGACCGACAATAATGGTCATCTTTCAGTTTATTGACCCATTGGTCTTTGGTGGTCAATAGCTTTGACCCATGTCCGTATTGCAAATCTTAATTTATATATTTATCTTAATTTTAACCATCACAACTTTTGTAGTTTACATTAGTTTACCAAGAAATGTCGGAATTCCTAGCCAAAGTAGGTCCGCCCAGCCAAAGTACGTCCACTCAATATTCAACTAGCATTTCTTTGAGGAGTTTGCGGGAATACGGGAATACCATATTTAGATAGGCGGACCAACAAACATGACCCATCCGCAGTAAGTCCAGTCACGAAAGACATTCCGACTAAGAGATGGACGGCTTCTACTGCCAGCACCAGGCAGTTTTCATGCAACTTTCTCAGCTCATCAACGGTGCACAATGCACCACCTGGCTAAGCTGTCACAATAAAGCAATATTGATATGAATTCATGTCTTGTAATCAAATGTATGGACGTAATGTATGACTATAACAGAATGTAATGTACTTGTACTATATTGTCATATAGCTTGATACATTGTAGTAAACATTAAATAATATAACATAATTAATATACCGTAAAAATAGAATATAGCATAGTTTAGGTGTGATATACCTATATATATATAATATATAATTAGATGAGCCGCAGTTGATACATCGCCAAGAAAATTGTTTTCTTACTCTTCCCCGATCTGCTTAAAAAAGACCCCACCACAGAAACGCGGAGGAAGCGAGCAAAGGTTTGCCTCGCAAGAAACGGTTGGACGCATCACGACCTGAGTTGCTGGCTGAGCCACCCAGCAAATATTGCTGTGTATTCCATTGGTGATTCACCCTGAAAATATATGGAACTTGTTTGGCAAATATCGGGATGATGATTGAAATTATGATATTTCCATGGATTTGTCACAAAGGTGCACCGCATTTTCTTGCACTTTTAAACATTGAGATGATGATCAAGCATTGGATTTCAAGGTTCGTGGAAGTGTCATCTGGGATTGGACAACTGACGATTTGAACACTATATCCAAACTATATATGAGCGGTGTCAACCATCATCCGAAAAAAAACAAATAGAATATCCCAAATAATTACTTGAATATTGACTTGACAACAAGTCTACGTATACATATTAGATATGAATAGCGGACAAGAACATTTGTATATATACTTGTTCATTTTCATGCCATGCACAACTTGGGGTCGTCCCCTATCGGTAATGAAGGTTTTGCACGCCCCTCAGCAAGGCCAAGGCGAAGCAAAACTAAAAAAACATATAAATATACACCGGAATTTCCCAGATATAGGTCGAGAATATGTGAATGAAGCCACAAAGCAATGAAGTATACATCAGCTGATCGACATTGCAAATGCTACTGCTATTGGCATCTGTTTGGCCCCTGTAGTTTCAATTCAAGGTAAATTCAGTCAATGGATAACAACCATCAATGGTCAAATGCTCACAGGAGCTGTTGCACAGCAAAGTCTTTAGATCACAAGCAAGATCAGGACACGTAAGAAAAGTATTGGTTTCAACAACAGTGGTTGGTCGACAGGAATTCCCAATTCATTCATGATGATAAACCCCCGTATATTGCTGAGTATCACCTGCTGCAATCGAACACTGCTCAAGGGCTGGGGGATACTGTATACACAGGAAGCGTTGCTTCAACCACTCCCCTGAAAAGTATTGGCCCTTGCGGATCATACCACTTTCACAGACTGAAGTTCTAAAGTAAATTGAACGTATCGGCCAAATCATTGATAACATCTTCCGTTTTAACCCTCTCATTGATTCGGGCTGAAATATAGTAATTCACCAAACTGAAACAAACTCATTTTGGGATGATTCCCCCAAGCCTAGCCATGTCTATCTATATAGTGATTAGCATCTATATATGTTACTTGCCTGAATCCGAGGTGCCATATGGGCCGGCCCAAATCTCGCCATGTTCACCTTTTCGGCAGCCCTCATTTTGGATCTGTCAATTAGTCCCATGGTGGTTTTGATGGATTTGTCAATCTTTTGCTGGTTATTGTTATTTGATGTGATTTGCTATTCATACCCTCTGGTAAACTAACATAACTATGGAAAATCACCATTTTGAATGGGAAAATCAACTATTTCTATGGCCATTTTCAATAGCTTTTTGTATGTTTACCAGGCCGGGTATAATTGGCCAAAAACCTAATACGGATTACACTACCCATCCAAGGTTGGGGATGTTTCAGATTGAGAATCTAAAGAAAATCACCTAGGTTTCTTCTCAAACACACTTTCATCTGGGTGATTGCTTGGGATACCACAGATTCAATACAACTTGACAAAATCAAATCTTGATTGGTCAATCTGCCTTCAACGACCTCCTTCGGGGTACACTTTTCTACTGAACAAGTGGGTGGGTATATGATAAGTTATATTTCAACTCTCCAACTGCACCCACAAGTCAGGTTTAATTACAGCAAGCATGTCACCCCGACGCCTGCGGAGAGGATAAAGGGGAAGGATGGCAGGCCATGACCCGGTGCACTGAGCGTCAAAGAAGCACCTGTGCTGGTCGTGTTGAGCAGGACACCCTTGGTGGATTGCTGGTCAGATGAACCCTAAACATCCCTAAACCTCCGTCATGCTGGATGACCATCGAAATGCTGGTTCCCACAATACGAACCATTATGCTCGCTGCCCTTCGTCCATCACGAGGTCACTTTAAATGATGCAGACTGTTTGATATGCTATACTCTACATAAACATGTATGTGTAGTTAAGTTCTGTATATATGTATTCTATAATATCTATCTATATATATATATTTACTATATGTTCATATGATACTGTATTGCAGGTATGCATCTGGGATCCTGGTTTTCACATAATTATGTATCCACCAAATGCGTGACGATGCCTGTGTCCGAAAATGGAGCGTACCTGCAGTTTGATGAGGAAGATGATCAGTGGATTTCAGGTCTGCCGTATACACCATTTTTGACCCCAAATTAAGGTAGCGTAGAGGCCTAAGAGGGTATAGTAAGTAAATCATATCCTAATAAATCCCAGTTTTTTCGACATGATAACCCTCTTAGTCACCATCATAAAAAGGACTGGGTAATATAAATGGTGATTAGTGATGGGATATCCATGGATATATCCCAAGAATAGTCTGGACACATGGTGATAACCCACGGCCTCTGGCGGTGAGCGAAGGGCCCGGTGGCCCTCCGGCCGGGTGGAAATCCAAAGTCAGGTTGGTACCTGGCCGACGAAAAAATGACCCAAGATGAGATGCCGAAGGTGATAGGCTCAAATTGATATCCAAGGTGGCGGAAATTGTCCGAACTCAATTTTCAGATTCGTTTTACGTCATGATCTTTTTACACATGTGAGATGGTCATTTCCATGTTTCATTTCCGGAAGGTCCATTTGGGGGGACCGACAGATCGTTATGTTTCTCAAAAGAAAGAGGCGAACACTTTCGGATCCCCGGGATCCCTGAGATCAATACAAGTTGTTTGGCAGGAATGTGCTGCAAAATAAACAGCAGGAGACGACAACCAGAAAAATCTGGATGCACCGGCAATCACCGAATATGTCACAGCGAAAAAAATCAGGAAGTGCAACAGTATGCAACAGTCTATTGTGATAGTTCTGAATTTTCACTACCTGTGTTTCTCCCAAAGAAAACAAAACAGGTATCACAAAATTCGACTGGGCGTAAATCCACCATTTTAGGACCCGTTCATTTTTAGAATGCCGAGGACTGTCACAAGCGCTTTCCAAATACGCCCCAAAAAATATACCAACATGGTTGGTTCAATACCCAAATAACTTTGTTGCTTACACATTCCCATTACTCTCCATTCTTAATGTTCCATTAAAGTCCCAACCCATTATCCCTTTCCAGATATCTGTCTTTTTGCATCAATTCAACAAACCGAAACACGACAGCCACATATATTACATACTACAAAAACTTGTGTTCGGTGGTTGGAATATGTTGAAATATATTGGATATATTTTGCAAAGGTGTATTTTTTCCCATGTTACTTTTGCTAGGGAGTTTGTATATAATTATATATATATATATGTATCCAAATTTAAATCTTAATATATCTTGATATCATGAAAAACCCATCAGAAAACGCCTCCTCCCAAGTCAAAGGAGTTGGAGGTCATCATGGCGTAGGGCCGTTGGTTGAAGGCCTGCTTCAGTGGCCGTTGGTCAACTAGGTATAGCGATTTTGTTTTTAGGTACCTATCATAAGGTCGATGTAAGGCTTGATGTAAGGGGATACATCCCCCAAAATGTGGCTACATGGCTTTAGATATCTTTAGATGGTACACGATCTCCAATTTGGGTACCTGAAATGGCCATTGATGAATGACTATGTCAAATTAACACTTGTTGGCTGGTTGCTGGTTGATTGTCAAAGCTGATGCTGGTTGGTTGCTAGTTGATGTCAAGGTGATGATGTTCGTTGATGCAAATCAGTTTGATTCTCGAAACAAGTCAACTTACTGGTGCGTCTTACGTAGGGAATGGATGGGAATGGGGGTTGCTGGGATCATTATTCATAGTTATTGTGGATCATTCCCTCCCTCATTCCCTACTAAGCACCAGTAAGATGAAGATGACCTTCAGTTGACTCAGGTGGTAGACTTCAGAGAGGTGATCGGAAAGAAGGCTGGACGGAACGAAACAGGCATGGCCTTGGTGTTTTATAAATGGACCGCCAAATTATTCATATAGTATATTAATGAAATACTTTATAATATATATATACATATACACAACAAATCCATGATTTTGGGATCACCCCAGGCCCAGGATTTGATGTTCTCAGGATTTTTAGGCCAGGGCCTGGGGATTTGGTGTTCATCCCAACCAGCTCACCCAAAAATTCTACTGGGGATTCACAAACACATTTCTTCGATAGGGCATGGCTTTTTAATTATGTAAATATAGTGCGTGTATACATATATATATATATATATATATGTATAAAATGTATATAGATGGGCATAGTGTATCGCTATATATAATATATCATGTCATAAACATATATCTACTGGATTCGTCATCATCCAACTGCCAATCATGATATGTAGATCATCTAACCGCAAATAGATTTATCATGATTGGTGGTTGTACTATGAATCTATGATATATTATATATATAATAGATAGATATATCCATCCCCATTGAATGCGATTAAATGCCATTAAATCCCATTGAATCCCGTTGACTCTGTGTCCCCCATGACTGCCAGCATGGCCCATTTTGGCCTGCTGGAAGTTGTCGATGCGCCACTCGTGGCGTTCCACCACCCAAAACCTGATCATTCCATCGTTGAAGGTTACAGTAACCATGTGTGCCAAGGTCAAAACATGCTATCTTGTTGATGGTTGCTAGTCATCCACCCTATTTTAAAGAAACACAAACATGATGGGTAATATCAATCCTTCCTACTGGATTGATGACCATCCCCTTTTTATGAACATTTAAACCATGTTCCATGGCAAATGTTGATTTCAGATGGTTTCAGTCTTATGACTTAGAGTTGGATTGAAACAAATATCTACAGTATTCTATATACATCAAATGATTGTTTTTGCTCCGAAGGAATAAATCTTCCCTTCATCCACTTTTAGTGGCTGGTCACCCCATATAGATGGGATTCGGGATGTTCCCTTTCTACAGTAGCTGATATATCACATCGTGCTTTCTGTGTCCAATCTATGCCTCTAAGCTTTATCTGAGAACCAGAATTCGCAGAATTTGTCATTCAGCATTCGGTGGGAAATGGCTTGATCCTCCGAGGATCTTGTTTCAAAACGTGGTACGTTTTTTATTTTTTTCGTAGCCCTGGGGGGATATCGTCCACCAAAGATGTGGATGTTTTCTTGTGGGGTTGTCCGAAAATAGGGTATATTTTTCGTATACCTCCCATGTTACGACATGTTTTTCTCAGGGAAAACTCCCGGCGTAATTTTCCACTGCAATTTGGGGCCAAAAAAGTCTGCCATACTCACCCAATCAGCCACCAAACACCACGCAAGTTGCTACTATCTTAATGGGGCCAAGGGGGACCTGTCCCATGAGATTCCCATGATATTCCCATAACATTCCCATAAAAAAATGCCATACTAACGATTATCATTAGCTATACAATCCCCTGATATTCTCATGACATCAACAATTTTATATTTACATACTCACCCATACCATCCCATACCTAAGCCTACCTTGTTGATGCCTGAACTCGAAACTCGGCCTAAGCCTCCCAGCGTTTCCACGCTGATCTCCCGTAGCAAAAATTGGCGTAACGCCTCCGCGATAGGTTCAGCGTCTCTCCATGACTTATCAGACCGTAAAGTTACAGTAATAATATGCTTAATATAATGGATTATCAAAACTTATTGGAAGAATTGGTAGGTTATAAAATTGTAAAATGTGAATTGAACTTTCGACAATGATAAACATCCGCCGTTTTTCACATGGGAATATCATATTAAACAAAAATGTGTGTATTTTTTTCCAATTCAGCAAATCCATTAGACAATCTTCAATGTGTAACAATATTAAGCAATAAATATCTAGTAAAATACTACTCATAATCATAGAAACTTGGTAGCTCATTAGAAGATTATAAAATATGAGATCAAACCTGCAGTAATCATTTAAAACAGTTTTACGACTACGTCTGGGTCCTAATGTCGCAGGATTCATACCTTGCCTTTTTGTCAAATTGCGTGTCCATGATGATTTTTATAAGATCAAAATCAAAATCATCATCGTTTGGTGATAGAAACCGTAGAATCTTTGACCTATCCAGAGGTTTGAAAAGTAGCTGGCCTCTTTATGATTTACATTGATTTCCCCGGGATTAGTACGCACCGTCTCTAACCGGTGGACCTCAAAGTGTGCGATGTCTTCTTTATATTCTTTTGACCCACAGCCAAGTGTGGTGAAAAGATGCGAAAAGCATCTGGCGGCTTATCATCTGATTGGTCACATATCCCCACTAAATGACCAATTCAATGCTTGGCAAATTGCCCCCATTCATCCCCCCAAAAGTCCCATATGGTCCCAGCAAATCACCATCTCTTTATGCGTTGGCGTTGAAGAAATCATCCCCCCCAATGGGTCCAATTGGGTTTACTACATGACAACAACTGGGGGAGATCCCCACCTGTGAGGTGGGCCAGGGACTCTCCAGCCCCGTGCGGTTTCGCAGGGCCAAGCGCCTGGAGTTTTCTCCGGTTGGAAGCACCAAAAAAATTGGAATGGAACTCACAAAACATTTGGAATTAGACATGTACCAACTCTTTCAAGTTCGAGTTTTGGGAGGCATGTGTTGGTTGTAGGTGTAATAGCGGTTTAAGGTAGTATGACGAATAAATATAATATACAGTATAGCAGTATGTGCGATAAGCGCATTTTCTGGAGATTCTTGAAATGACATGATCATGTTTCTGCTGTAGTGAACCACATTTTCAGCAATTTCACGGCCGCTACGATGTGCCACCAGTTGGATGGTCGAACAGGATCCATGGCGATCCATGGCCTGAGGCTACCATCCCACAGGCTCTGCTGCAGTATCTGCGCATCCTTCTCCAAGGCAGCCATAGAAACATGAACACTCACCTTGGACAAGATGGTTGGCAAAGTGGCCCAAGTATGGTCTAAACCAATAATGTCCTTTTGGTAAAAATAGAGGGGCCGGTTTGGTATACCATCTATCATCATTTACCTGTTGTTAAAGGGGTAAACAAACCCCTCTATTAATCAATATTAATCAACCAACCAATGGGAAAAGGACATCTTTGGTCTAAACTCTAAACCGTCCACGTCGAAACACGTCTAGGGCACCCGGTGGTTCCGAAGCCGCGCGCGCACGTGGAGCTGCGGCCCTGGAGCCAGAAGTTGCGCCAAATAGCCGCGCAGCTCCGATTCAAAGGTGGCCTGCCAGGGGTGGCCTTGGGAAGTGGATTTCTTATGATTTCTTGATGGCCTGATGGCCTGGTAAATGGGTACAGTTATGGCCATAAAAACCAGTTATAACTGGTTATTTCAATGGGATTATATATTCTATAAATGGGGTTATAAGTACTTACAACTAATAAATGGCCATAACTGTAGATATCTTCGAAAGATATTTCAAAATCCTGGCTGAGAGATGACGCTAAGCCAGCAGTCAAGCAGTCGACTTCTGCGGAGATCTACCATGAATTTTACACCTGTGTGCCTACTATAGTGGGATCTCTGGAGTTTGTACTAGTGAATCTTTAGCGGCCACTAGTATAGAATGATTGGTTGGTTTTCCAATAGTAGTATATTTACAGTAACCCAATCTATGGCCGTTTTCCTTGTGAACATTGTTTTCCCAACGTGATTGGCAGGCTTTGCGAGCATTTTCAGACAAACCTTTTTCAATTGGTGGCATAGGGTAACTGTCCATGATGTCTTTAACATTAGTTTGCACTTTGTCTTACTGGTGCTTAGTAGGGAATGGATGGCAATGGGGGAATGGGATGATTATATATTACTAGTGATTATGGATCATTCCCTCATTCCCTGCGAAGCACTATATTATATTAGTTGTGGTGGTTGCATTTTTCCACTATGATTGTTCTTTTTTCCAGTTTTCCATGTGAACACACAACACATATACCTAACAATTTAATGTTAAACGTCTTTAAACTCATAGGGTAGACCGGGTAGACCAAGTGGCCATCAAACAATAGGAAAATGAGGTTTGCAAACAAATTTTGGGGGTGCAGTCCCAGTTATATTTTTTTTTGGATATATCGTACAGATATATCACCCAATAGTCACAGACGCTACATCCCAACTCAACTATCATAACAATAAAACCTATTGCCATTGCTATACCATCTGTGACGGAGGATAGCCATGGGTAACCATGATTAACCTGGTTATAAACTACAATTTGAGCCCCCCCGGGTTATAAGTTAGTTTATAAGCCCCAGTAACTAGTTCGCTCTAAGTACCATAAACCATAGTGAAATGGGAGTTATTGGCACCAATCAAACGGGTGCCTCACATTGTAGAGGTTATATTATCCACACGGTTGGTGCCATCATAGAACAGTCGTCCCCGCGCCCGGGGACGCCTGCCATCCAGGTACCGCCACCGCAGCACTCTCCGCATGTCCCAGAAGGCGGCAGCGCAGCACTGCCGGGGTAGGGGAGGTTCCTACTGAGCCGAGCCGAGGCAGCAAACCATGGCTTAGTGGGGGATGAAACATGGTGAAACCACTTGTGCCTGGGACCATCGAAGGATCCATATTAGGGGGTTTCCTAAAATGGGGCTACTCCAAGCTCGATGGTTCATTTCATGGAAACATCCCCATCTAAAATGCATGATTTAGGGGTACCACCATTTTAGGACACCACCATTTGTAAGATGTTAAATATTAGGGGGATGGGATTTTTCTGTCCACTACCTAGCGAGGTAACCATTCTGTGTGTCCAAGGTCTTTGGACCTTAAGGGAAACACATAACCACAACATCTGTGATATGGAAGGATTTCTATATAGTTTATTGATAGGTTTCTATCATCCAATAGTACATGTTTGATGATTGGATTACTTGAAAACCAAAAGAACTGTGAATTCTGAATTCAATGGATGGGTAAAAGGGAAAAGATCATCCAAAAACATGTGTTTGCTCATATTTTTAGGGGGAGTCCCGTAAATTTCCCCATCATCCAATTATTGAACGGACTGTTCGCAATTGTTTTCGCACACACATATGATTTACTAACAGTTGATTGAAAGCAGTTGACTGTTATACGTATGTTGGACAATTTAGCAACCTGTTATATAAATATATATATATATAGAGAAACAAAAAACAACAATCACTGTGTGGAATGTACACATACACAGTGCATTCACATTGTTGTGTTTAAAGGTATACACATGTGTAATCATGTGTATATATATTATATATATATACATATATATATTAATATATACGTGTTCATAATTGAGGCATGACTAGCGCATGTCTTTTTATCATGTTGTATCCCGTCCGACGTTTGACCTCATTCTCCTCTCCATGCAAAACACTCATTTTTGCCATTGCTACTGTGACAATATTGTCATCATTTTTTTGAACAAAATGTGGGGACCAACAATCATGGGGATTGCTCTGGGGATGCTGTATACCTCTACAGTAAACGGGTAGTTTACAACCAAACTGGCGTACCCACCAAACACCAGACTGAGGTATTTTCAACATCCAGATCCTAAGATATCCTAAGACTCCTGCAAATGCAGTTTTTTATTACCATGCCGGATTTCTGCAAATGGTAACACCCTATAGTTACCATGATCAACTTTAGATGCCAATTGAAAAACATAATGTTCGGCGGAATATCAACTCCTCCATCAAATGGATACGCAACTAAACCCATGACCTATCCAGGCCAATTCTGCTCATTCACAAATCAGAAACACTGAAAACTCTGATGTGGTTGGGATCCTGGTTGGGATCCAAGTTGCCCTATGGCTTTTCGGTGCCCTCCAAAAACCGAAAAGGACCGTGACCTCGCCTGGTGCTGCCGCTGTCCCTGTCCCGGGACAGGGACTCGCTGTTGGGGCCTCCTGGGGAACCAGGCCAACATGGGGATATGAATGGTAAAAATAACTTCTGGTCATGTAACATATAGTTATCCTTCTGGTCATGGGGATATTCATGGTAAATACCATGGTATACATACCTTCTAGTTCTTGAACATGGCCCATTTCCTTCGATGATTTGATATAGTTGATTACGAAACAGGTTTTTGTTGCTTCCATGGCAAACTTTTATCCTCTTGACAAATTCACTGTAAACATCTAGTTTCATAAGATGTATATTCTGATAAGACTCATCAAAACATTGCAATTTCCTCCTCAATCATCCTCAATTCATCCTCGAATAAACTATTTACACCTAAACCCGTGCTGGTGTCATCAGTGTCATCCTTCCAGATACTTGCTGCTCAAAAAAACATGCAATAACAGAAAATCAGAATAGCTTAAACCATCATCTACCCTATCAAGCCTGGCCTCAATTGTATTTAATATATATATATCAACATACGGAAAAATAAGGAAAGTACGTCCTGTTCCTTAAATGTATTTAATGGAACCTTGCTAAAATCAATTCGCTAAACCTGGACATCGTCAGCTCTCGCCTGGTTTAGGACATACACCTGCAGAAAAATGCGAAAATGGGGGAGCGACCCCACTTCAGGACATTGGTAAATTCAACGTTGATTGGTGGTACAAAGCGACGGTTCGATAGGATGGATTATTATACATTTGAAACTTCCAAGCTTAATTTCACAAGATTAAGTGAGCCCATAGCCATACCCTTATTTCGGGTGGTAATTGTATGTAATTGTTGTGATTTTGTTGTCATCCAGCTAGGTAAATAGAAAGTCTACAAGAAGAACCACTATACGGTGGAAAATACAACCCCAATAAGAACCAACCACGATTCCAGCGAAACCACCAACACTTTACACGCTTTGATGAATGAGATTGAACGGGTGAGTCCAAGAATGGGATATAACTATATAAAACTGACATAACCCAAATTGTCTGTTTGAGAAGCAACAACAACCATTGAACCTCATGATCAACCCTGGATTTGGGCCTCATATGGCTTCCCTTCCAGCCTGGGTGACCAAAATTGGATCCATTCAAGGTGGCTATTGCCAAGGTCCAAAGAGACTTACCAAATTTCGCTGGCTGATTGCCCAAAATCTGGTCTTGGGGACTTGGGGGCCTTGGGGCTTGTGATTTTGACACATTTTCACCTTTGAGGTGTGACTCCAGGGACTTTGTACACGCCAGGGTTCCGCACGGAGCTGCAATTCTGCATGCCCAGTCGCCCTTTTGAGAACATGATCATTCAATGAATCATGTGACGGCTGTCTCAAAAAATCACATACCGCGACATTATATTACCACATATTACCACTTTAAAAGGAGGACATATATGATAGGCAACAGAGATACATGGGGGGATACCCAATTTTGGTTCATAGATCGAACATCCCGTGGGGCTCTCAAGAGATCATCATCACAGTTCCAAGGGACAAGCCCAGAACGAAGCTTGCAGCATTCACATCCATAAGAATCCATAAGAATCCATAAGACACTTGTGGTCTGCCCAGAAATGGGCTGTACCAACCAAAATTTAAATGTTTTTTCCAATGAAATACATTGAGAAACAACTCAATTGCACCCAGCAATTCTCACTTGCTTCAAGCATCGGTCGCCGCACTTGGCTCGGGCACGGACACGGTCGCTGCATCGGTCGCTGCGGGGTGGAACATTCGAAACGTCAAGATCTTGGGCCATTGGATCTGCGCCCCCCTCGGTTGATCGTCATAAAAGTGCATCCAAAGAAAACCGTTCGCTCCAAGCACCACCTGCGAATCGCAGATTTAGGTGAAACAAAAAGGCCAAAAATCTGTTTTATTAATCTTTATTATTGTTTAATAATAAATGTGTTTTTCTCAGCAACCATGAGAAAAGGAGAACTTAAATCATCAACGAGTTGCCGCCATCCAGAGTATGTAGTGAGTTCCGCCTTGGCCCAAGAAACAGTGTACGTAGCAGTCCACATGTCCAGGAGGACCACATGTGAGATCCGTGAGGCCTAAGAAGATGTAGGACCCGGCCAGAAGGATCACAGCAATCACCCCGGTGTAGGCGATTGGCTGCCGTTCCCTTATTGCCAGCAACGTCAGCAACCATACAGCACCGGTATAGAAAAATCCAAGGGCCATGGTGCAACCCAAAGCCAGCACGCCAAAGTCGCGAAGCATCAGGGAAAGGGTGAGAAATCCTGCCAATGATCCCAGTAGGAATAGGATGCTCACGATCCACACATCTTGCCAACGCTTTGATGGCCAAATCGCCTCCCCCAATCCATTGGCTAAAGCAAGGAGCGGACCCAACGATGTGATGGTGACCATGCGCGCGATCAACATCAATGCAAAACCATCCTGGCTGGGTTCTGGGGTTCTTTTTCCATCCTTTTCCTATAGTATTTCATAGTTCCTCTATAAACATCTTCTTCGAGAGAGGAGATAGATTGAGAAGTAATGGTTTTATCCTGTCAAGAATTTGGAAATAGAAGGACCCCTATGGTACCTTGTTGCAAGCGTTGGTAAATCCACCTCGTGTAGGCGAGTTGGGACGCCGAAAAGGCCCAATCTCGGACGGCTTGGACCTACATTATGTTGAAGCAATACGCGGCCTTGGACTTATACAGTATAACTGATTTAAATGCTTATGTTGAAAAGCATGTCCTTGATTTTTTTTTGAGCATCAATCAATTTTCAATGCTTTCATTTTTACATAATTGCCAATCTCACCACGCCAAACTAGTCAAACACCGAGAAACATGATAAACCACCAATCTGGCTTCAAAATCGGCCACCATTGGCCTAAATTGCATCGTTTACTCCAACACTATAATTATATATATATAATAATAAACAATCGTTGACATCAATGATCTGACTGATCCATGATAGTCCCAGGTTCGGATGGCAAACAGAAATACATAGCCCCTGTGTGGTGGTTAAGGTCCTTATTTCAAAAGATTGGGCAGTTGTGCGTCATGATCCCAGATCTTCCTACCAAGCTTTTTTACGCCCAGTTTCGTTCTCGGAAAGAACGCATGTTGCCAGTGCTTCCAATGAATTGCCACAGCTAGTCAAGAATGCGTACCAAGAGCACAGCTTTATTTTCAAGCGATCCTTCATTTTCGGGCGAAACCAAGGAAGCCAAATCAGAACAGCAAGAAGCCCGCAAAGCCCACCGTTGCACCAAAGTCCCACCAGCCTTCCACCATGTGCAGCAGGAAACAGATAGGGATCCTGGATGATAAAATCATCAAACTTACCTCCCTCAAACTCGCACTCCATTCACGGAGAAAGCGTGTTGCTGTTGTTCAACAGCGGAAGGGCGAACCTCGGAAACGCCCAAGAAGTTGTCCAAGACTGTTTTGGGCCGTGAAACAGCTGAGTCATGAGGCAGGTGGGCGGTATCTGACAGCCATTCTGACATTCTACCTGACATTTCATATGGCATGTTATTTTATCGGACATCTTATCTTACATTCTATCTGACATCTGATCTGACATACATTGTGGCATTCTATCTGGCATTCTATCTTACATCTATTCTGACATGTTATCTGGCATGTTGTCTTGCATATCTCTAGTATACGTATAGTGTTTGGCTCCGGCAAGGCCCAGAGAGCTGGAGCTTGGTGAGGTTGGTGAGGCGGTCGGTAGCAAAACACCAAGTCGTGGGGTCGGATCAGCCACTGCATTCACTGCATTCGACCGTTTCAGTGGACGGTGAATGGGAAGAACAACATGTGGCCCTGTCATGACTCTGCCGCAATGGTTAAAATAGATGTTTTTAGGGCTCAAAAAAAGAGCAAGGTCGGTGCATATTCAATCCCGAGTATGTCAATGGTGCTTTCAGATTTTAATGTTCTCCCATGTTCTACTCTGTGGCAAGATAACATAGCTATATAGCTGTGTAAAATTATCCATTTATAGATGATCTTCCTATAGTATAAATGGTGATTTGCCATACTTCCGCTACCGTAAATTACCAGAGGGTATCTTGTGGAGATGTGTGGAGGGATTATGAAGGATCCATCATGATCCAGCGGATAAAGTCACAACATTCCTTTTGTCACTTGCCTCAGTTCAAGTACTGGCTGCCACCTGGTGGCAGCTTTAAAGTAGCCAAAGTGACACCACGATTATTTTGCTTGGTGTCAAAACGATGGTACCCTGGTTTCAACCCGCCAAGAGAGGACATATTGAATAAAATGGATCTAGACTCTTTGGACCTACTTCTCGAGTAGTAGTAATAAGTGAGGTTTTAAACTCCCATTATAGATGAGGTATTACCCATATATATATAAATATGAATATATATATATATATACATACCCTATGGATCCAAACACCTCCTGAGAAGGTACTTAACCCCCCAAATCATGTCCCAAACACTTGCTAAGAAGGTACTTGGATCCATAGGGATACATACATAGTCCATGATCCAGATAGCAATTATTGGGATGAACATTGGGATATTCACCCACCACCTGCAGCAGCTCTGACGTCCGTGACCTAAACACCCAAGGTCAACTGACCCGGCCCCGCCTGGTGATGTTCTTCAGGATGTTCACCGTACGATTTTGTGTACTACTCATTAATGAAAAACCTATCCCATAGGATCCATGGTGCTGGTATATATGGTATCATGGATCCCATCAATATACCCCATTCATGTTAGCATATATAGCAGCACCATGGATCTTTCATGGGACGGGTTTGTAGTACATTGGCTGATGTTCTTACTTAGAGGTCTTGATTCCTTGTGAGTATTGAAAGATATAGCCAGAAAGGTCGACGGCATGCGTTTCAATTTCCACATGCTGCCCTGGGTTGAAATGTGTGGCATGTGGCCAAGTTTGCTCAAAAGATGTGGATCCCGATGGGTCCTGTGAAAACATCCTGAAGGACTGGGATGCCTGGAAAACTGACAAGTAGATTGCTGAAAAATGCTGACAACTGCCTCGGAAAATGGATGATGGATGCCACGAGCACTCAAGTTCTCCAAGTTTCGGGATTTCACATGATTTCACCAGTCATGTGACTGGGAGGGTTTGTTGCATCCCCATTTCACCTATATATATAATATATATAATATATGTATATATATATATATTATATAATATATATAATATAATATAATATATATATAATCCCTTCCCCCTAATTATCCAAGATCAAACCATGGAAAAAAGAAAAAGGACGCCTGGACCCTGCTTCAGAATTGGATCGATTCATATTTTTCGGTGCCCATGTTGTTACACAACCCATATGCGAACCATGGTGCTGGAATATTTACCAACATTTGCCCTAGAAATCACCCAAATTTAGGTAAATAATGGGTAAAACAAATATATATATATATAATATTATATAATTATATATATATATATATATACCACACATGGAGCATATGGGCAATGTATGGGGGGTATTATTTGATGTCACCGGGATGGGATGTATGCCCTCAATCTCCTTCCGGCGATAGGCGGCGCGTCGCCGCGGCGACGGCACGCCCCTTGGCCGCGGCGACGGCGAGCGCGGCCGGAGCGAGTCCAGCCGCAGTGCGGTGCTACGAAGCTCCTGGAAAGTCCCCGAGCTGGAGAAGGTCGAAGAAATTGGGGAATTTCACCAACAAATATCCCCAATTTCTTCGAACTGGAAACATGGCTGGGTTATCCCCAATTGGGGAATCATGGTTGAAGGTTTTCAAACTGGTCAATCAATGGATTGGTTCAAGGGAAAATCTTAACCGGAAACCCATGGGTTTTTACCATCAAATTGATCGGGCTTTCCGGTTAAAATTTTCCCATCATCCAATTCTATGAAAATATGATCAAATATGGAGAACAAATGAGAACATTAAGAAAATAATTATCTAAAATAATGGGAATGAATAGGGATACAAGAGGGATGGATAATGAGGCGATAGAATGATGGGGCGCTGTAAATCCCCACATCCTGTCGCTTCAGCCAAGCCATCCATCTCCAAGTGGAGGTCTATGACACCATGGGCCAAACATGGCCAAACTGTTCGTTCCGCGGGACGGTTGTTTTGGGAGGATTCCCGCCCCATCCGCCCCATCCTCTAGAGAAAATCATAGAAAATCAATACCAGGGTTGTTACTTGGAGGAAGTTGGGAGAGATTTGAGGATTTCTGCACCCAAACCAAGACCTCGACCTTGACACAACACCATGCACTGTCCTCCGGCATAGACACACGGCTTGCGCTGCTCGGCCTCTTAATAGAGGCAGAAGAAGCTGGGAGTCCATTTTGCGGATCATAGCAAGTCAGCAAGCTTAAGTATGCGAACTTGCACGTGCATGTTAATTGTACAATCTGATGTAAATACTTGTATTCATATGTCAAACATGCATAATATAGAATTAATTGATTCCCGTGAAATTGGACATTTATAATATATGTATATATTTACATATATATATATACATACAATTATACATTGTGTATATATATACATGTATAATTGTATGTGTATATATATATACGGGACTTGCACCACCAACCTGAGATCATCTCCCTCGCCACCTCGATGGCGGCAACGTCACCTTCCGATCCAAGGACTTCCCTTTCCGTCGCAAGGCGTTCCGAAAGCGGAAGTCCTGCGGGAGGTCAGTCCTGAGATGTCCTGAGTCCAGTCCGTCAGCCGATTCAGTGATTCTGCTTGGTCAAAAAACTGCTCCCGTCATAGATTCCTAGACTCGGTGACCGGTGACATAGGTCATTTCCCAGACGAAATACTTTCAACCTTTGACTTCACAGGAGAGCCAATTTCAAGACTCTTTGATTCCGTTTCAAGTGTAACCAGATCTAGCTCTCCTTCACATGCATCATTTCAAGGGCATCCAGAATCTGTCCAATGCAATTCAGGCAACTTCTTCAAAAACCTCCACAACCTCCGCTTCAAAATGTCAAACAAATGCACCCGGTTTTTCACAACGGTGGCGGTGGAAGTCACGTCGAAGCGTCGAAGGCATGCTGAAGCTCATCTGATGATCTTGGACCACAACCCCAATATTGCTGCTATTGTTTTCTGCCCCCGCTCCTTTAGAATAGGCATATGACAGTCATTGGGGACAAACAATAACCCATAGGATCCATGGTGCTGGTATATATGCTAACATAAAGGGGGTATATTGATGGGATCCATGGCACACCATATATAGCAGCACCATGGATCAGTCATGGGTAATAGACATACTGCGCTTGTTGAGATGAAGACGAAGAATGGTGGAAACATGTTGAACCCACCCAACATCAAATCCATCCTGTATTTCATGTAGTGGGTAAAACGTAAAGTCATAAACCACCCATGACTGGGAATGGTAACCATACCACCTATTTACCATTCTATATGGTGATTTGGGAGATGGTTTATGGGACTGTTTACCCACAATGCCTATATAATCTTATAATATCCTATATATAATTATTAGCTGGCTGGGTGTATCATATCACAGCACCCGCATCAGCTCTCCTGTGGAAAATGCTGCTTCGCCCTGAAGTCGTTGGGCCCCGAAGGGAAACGATCCTGAAGCGGGGACCACGGCAACCTGAAAGCTGACACGTGCCATGGTCGGGACATGTAAAAACATGTTAATCTAATATATATATATATGTATATTATGTATTATATATTTATATCATGTATAAAAGTTATATGGGCTATGGTCATCCATCCCACAATGGGAATCTAAACATTCTGTGCATATGAATTCGTATAAATCCCTGAATATTCATTTAATTGTCAATGGATTAATGACCATCCCCAGTATGATCTTTGGAATCCCCAGCTTTTGACGGTGGTCAAAAATGGCACTGACCAGTCAGAAGGGGCTTGGACATATGCTTTTCCCAACTAGAAATGCCCATTGTTGGAGTTCTTTGTTGGATTTCCAAAAAAAAATCAGGGGAATACACCAAGCACAGCGAAAATCCAACCGCGCAACTCTCTTCCCCAAGTTTTTCTCGGCCGAGATTCGCCAGAGGTGCTGTACAACAAGCTTTGATATTCACGGTTCTTGATCTCCTGCGATCCGAGATATCCGAGTTCTATCCGAGCTCCCAGTGGATCTTTTGGGTTCAGAAACTGGCACCGAGGGTCAAAATGCCACGTGGCATGCCACTGAATCAACAGCGCTCCTGCGCCATCTGTTCTTGCATGGCCACATGGAGAGCATGGGCGGCGAAATCCATCGTATCGAAGGACTGTCTCTTCATCTTTCCGGGTCTTTCCGTCTGTTTCAAACCCTGAGAGGCGAGTAGTTCACTGCTGGTGCCCCAGGACCCCAGGACCCCAGGACCCCAGGACCGTTGCAAAGTTGGTTTCTACCTTTCCCAGACCTGTCAAAATGCTGAAAAAGTGCGACTGCTTAGCCTTGACTGTGGCGAGGCTTCAGGGGCTACTTTGAGCCTGGATTTTGAAGTTCAAGAAAGCGGAGTTTCCAATGTGGCGAGTGACTCTATCGAACAAATGAAACACTTTGCAGAGTTAGCTGGTGTTTTTGTTGGCCGTGAAAAATAGAGTGAAAGTCATAGGGAAGAAACACATTTCACTTGTTGGAACTGGCGTGTTTTCAACCAGTTCTCATCAATTCTGGATGGAAAACTGAGGTTCCATGACATCTGCTCCTTTTGTTGGTCCTGTCAGGTCCTTCTTGGCTATCATCATCCCCATGTTTCTGGAATGCTAATTTTGCTGATATATGGCTATGGATAAAACATGATAAAAACCCTGGTACCCTGTAGCTCACATCAACATAGATGATTGTTTTGGATGATAATCACCAAATTCTACATCGCATCTGGAAACATCTTGATTCAAGAGAACCGCTGGTTGACAACTGAACCTGAAAAATGGTATGGATTGCCTCCCAGTTCTCTTTTTTGCAAGCCCCAAGATGCCTGAAACTTTCCTCATTCTGTGTTCTCAGATTCTCCTTCCCGAATCTACAATAATCTACATCTCTATCTGTCTCTCCATTGTGAAATCCCGCACCAGGTGCTAACATTTGCTAGGGATTTCATGGGATTTCAATATGAAACAGCTGTCCGGATCCAGGAGATTCGACCTGGGTTGCTTGGTCCATTTGGTCCGGATCCAGGTCGCCGGGTCGCCGGGTCGCCGCGCTGCCGGGAGGCAAATGCCGTCCCAGGTCTGCGAGCTCCGAAGCTCCTCATTTTGAAGGGAAAGAAATGATGGGCAGATGCTATGATTGTTATGTATGTTATGTATGTCTGTATTTATGTATGTCTGTATTTATATATGTCTGTATTACTGTATGCTTGCCTGTATGTCTGTATTATCTGTGTTGCTTGGTACCCTGGCGAATATCAGTGAGATGTCATGCACGAAAACGGACAAAGAGCAGTCAATTTCTCCCACAGCCGGTAGAACATGACTCAATGACCACCACAACCAAATGATCCAAACCCAACATGCTCCGCAAGGAGAGTCAAAACATGTCAAGACAAGCAGACTAGTGGCTTCGTCGAGCCGCACATGCTAGACTCATACCACACATGTCGTGATATCAGATTAGCACGGCCCCGCTGATCTATCGTCACATCAGCGATCCGCCTGCCGTTTCTCGGCAGCTCACAGCGTTTCTCATCATCTATCAATTCAAGTCAAACAATGTGAGACATCACATGAGATCCAGCTAGATCATGAGCAAGCACGGGGAAGACCACCACATTGGGCTGGAGCAAACCTAGTGCAATAATGTATGTTCAAAGTGGCTACATATGCAGCATAATTATGCATACATGACATATAATATCATATAATTAGAGAAGGGAAATGATGAGAATGAACAACCACAATAATTTTCGAGACATACAGGGTTATACATAGTGAACATGGTAATCATTAATATACATGATATTAACATTGTGGTTTTCTCCAGATTCTGGCACTTCTCATTGCAAACCCCAACCCTCCTGACCCCGGGGAAGCGACCTTAAAGGTTCAAGAGGTACAACTCGAGGTACAACTCTCATGCTGGCTGGTTGGTGGTTTCAACACATCATCAAAATATTATATATATATGTCTTGTGATCATCATCCCAAATAAAGTTGAACATTTGAAAAAATGGAACCACCAAGCAGACTGTTGGCTATATCCCAATGAAAAATCGCCGTAAAACATGACCAGTTTTCCTAGTTAAATCATGATAAATCACAATGTCATGAGCATGGCATTATCTCTTTCCACTGGCCTCCTCCTGCTGAATTTGCGGGTCTTTGACCATTTCTTTCAGCAAAGTCGTCGCTGTCAGAAGCCTCACTAAGCAGCGGCGAACCAAGAAATGGAAGAGAGCGGCACTGAGGCTCTAGAAACAGGCTACCCCCAACTTTGATGTTTGATTCTCATGTTCTTCCTCACAATATATTGACATGGTCATTTAATGGGGGGTGTTTACCCCACTTTCCAGCTATTGGGATGGCTGAGCACCTAGGGACTCTCTCTGTCTGGAGGGGCATGAACATCAATGAACAACAATTCAATCACCCATCTCATGTTTTGATAAACCACAGAACCTGTCCAGTTTTGATTTCCGGATTTATCAGGGTGGATCCATCACACAGAGTGGGTCTTTCCGTGAACTTCCCTGGCAAAATCAACCGTCTTGTTAGTCACTCACCCGTAAAACCAGACTTTGAACGGAGCATTTACGGGAAAACGAACAACTTTGAGGGTTTCCTCAAATTGGGGACACAACAATAGCTGGATGGTTTATTGCATGGAAAATCCATGAACATCTCCTCTATAAATGGATGAGAACTGGGGGTACCCCTATAGGAAACCACCACATGACAACTTGAGTCAACCTTCGCCCAACTCCCTCATGTCCTGGAACCGGTTGACGCCTCGAATCCCAGGTGATTGAGTCGCACAGTGTGGCGGAAAGGGCTACCTGAGGATGGTGTCAATGGGGAACCACCAACAACCACTATGAAGGGCCAGTCTTAAGCTTTTATTATTGGGGGTCACCTTGGGTGGGGTCGTTGAATCATAATGTTGATAAATAAAGACGAAACACATCGACACTTTAAAAGGATATGTATATATACATAGCTGTTAATAGTATATTGCATCATATTTCTATAGAGTATACTTCCCATGAATTTATGACCCTATGATCCTATGTTAACTATCTTAAAGAGAGTTTTACCACGCAATTCTAGCAATATTCTCCGGTAGGTTGTTCCTCAATAAATGAGGATATGTGATATCCCATATGCTCCATGTATGGTATATTTACCTACATTTGGGTGATTTTTGGGGCAAATGTTGGTAAATATTCTATACATGGAGCATATGGGTATGTGCACATCTATATATCTCTTGTGCAATTCTGTGGATCTGTCGTCTCCGAGAAATCTGGACAGGCCTTAAAGGTTGGCCCCGTGGACTGTATTTACAACAGGCTGGGCCACTGGGTTCGGATCCAACAAATCCGCCTGGATTGTCGAGCCAGGCAGCCTTGAAAAAAACTTCTGTGGCCAATCGATCGTCACCCCAAAATCCAGGGCTTTCCCCTGAAAATGAACTCAGTTGGAAGGGTTCTAGTACCGAAAACCAGCCCAGACTTCAGGTGTTTGGCAAATTGGGCCACTCACAACACGGACCAAAGGAGTCATCGATGGGATCCAGTCTATGGCAAACTTCCTGTACGGGTAGTATACACCTCAACTAAAAACCATCATTTACGAGCTATCTCAGCTATTTATATATTATATATATATATATTTACACCAAATATCACACAATTACTTTTGAATATACATAATATTAGATCAAATTATATATATTTTTTACTGATGTACAGTATATGTTCATATAATTTATTACTACCTAGCGAAACCAAAACCTTACTTTTTGTAGGTCCCAGGGTGAAAACCGAGCTTTCGAGTGAAATGCATGCAAAACCTAGGTTTCCTGGAGAACCTCACTTTTGGTAGTATATATAGCTATAACATATATATGTTGACCCATCTCAATCATATATTCTATCCTTTCATGATATTCAATGGTCGTTCTCATCATATATGCCTTATATATATCATTTGAATTGCACGCTATATTTAATATGACCATCATCTACCATCACCTTCCCCTCTATCAACCGGTTGCTGCCCTTTTAGGCGCCATCGCCTTCTGGTCCAGGAACATCGCGACGAATTTGCAGCAATGTCTCTGGAAAGTTTGAAGTATATCTTGATGGACTATATATATGGCTACATATATAATGCTACATATATGAGATGCCCACAATGATATATAATGATAAGGTGGCCAAATGTAAATGAAACCATGGGGCAACCACAGAGCTACGCCAGCTATAGTGAGACAAAGCTGAACGCGACCGCTTTGAAGGGTTGTGGTTTAAATGGCAATTCTCAAGTTATAGTTCTGGGTTCCCCCCACAACTCAACAACTATATACAAATTTAACATACACACCTCACCTCACCCGTTGCGGGGTGCCATGGCAAACGCAGCCCACTCAGATATGAGGCGTGGTCCTGCGCCGGGTGCTCTTCTCTCAAAATCTGATATCCAACAATTTGAAGGGTCATAAAAATGAGATGATCAATGATGCGCAGAAACAAATGAAGTTGCAATGAACTTAATCAATTGGTTTTGGTTTACTTGACCAAGTGGGATCAGCAAGGTCCATGAACATTTAAAAAGGAAACGCATGTGACATCATGACTCTATATATACGCAGCATTTTGCTCAAGGAGTTGTGCTGCACCTCTTGTGCGGGGGGTCATGGAGAAGGAGGCTGACAGAGCCAAGTTGGATGTGAGTGATCTAGGGGTCTTGCTTGAAAAAGAAGAAGCGATTAGAACTCATTTACGCGACTCTGAAAACGTTCTCTTTGCTGGAGAAACCAAGGAAAGTGTCAAGGTTGCTTGCACTGCACATATCAATGTGCTGCTACGTGTTGTTCTCACCAAAGTGGTGGAGACGGAGGGAATGCCCCAACCCCCTATCCACCCCCTTCGGGATCAGTTAGAGCTCCTGTACCACAAATGCGGCCGCGTCAGTGTTGATACTGACCAAATCATTCGCGACTCCTGGTACGTCAGAAAGTTCGTTGGATTGGTCAAAATGAAGACACGGAAAGAGAAAGTCAGCGAAGAACCTAGTCTCGAGTTCAGGAATGCTTACAATTTATATCTCATTCGTCCTTTTCCATGCAAATGACAATATATCTTTTGATTCGCATTAGATGATGTTTTCATGGCAATCTCACCGCAATCATCCCTATCTAGTTTTAGATTTGGCATTCCGCTCAGGAGAAAGACTTTCAGAAATTGTGTCTGATCCTCAACCCAGAACTGAAGGACCGGGGGTCTGTATCCAGGTTTGATTTGAGGATCAGGGCTCCGTTGTTAACCAATCAATATCGACAATTTACATACGACCTCATGATCATACAATGGGTCTTCGGAAGGATTGATGTTGTTCATCTTGATATGGTCTTTGATCAGGATCTATGTGATGAGATCAACAGGAACGTTGAGTTGAGACTTCAACGCAAGAAGGAACGTCAGGCGCACAAGTGACCCAGGACATCCCAAAGTTTGGTTTCGCCTTTTCATGGCATGCATGCATGCAGCAACTTAAATATATATGACCAACATTTGAATATTCAAAGATTGCCACCAACGTGTTTCTGCCTGAGTGTCAACATGTGTCCACTGATGGAAACATGACTTTCATCCCGCACAGGCACGAAAGAAAGGACTGATTTCTACTGACGATGCTTATGATGATTCCAACAAAGGTTCTGAGTCTGAGAGTTCCCATGGCGAAGACAGTGATAGCTCTAGTGGGAGCAGTGATGTTGAAGGGGTAGATATTGATGCCGGCACCCATCCGGCTTCATCATCAGCCCTAGTCGGTGAGCCAGCTCAACCAGCCCGAGCCCCTGCCGCTGCTGCAGCCCCCGCCACTGCTGCAGCAGAACCGGCTCCTGGTGAACAGCCTGAAGAGGTAGCACTCCTGAGTGTTGGGCTCAGTGACTCGGGGGTCAGCTTAAGTTGACCCAACGCATGTTGAAACTTTTTTCAAAGACGCCAAAGCAATAACATGTGTTGTCATTTGATTTCATGGGTGTCTTCTGATCCCTGGTAAATATAGAACAGGGTTCCAATAACTGCGAATGAGTTTCTGTTCAAAACCATTTTCCTCAGGTCAGGTGCCAGCTGCAGACGCAGCCCAGCAAAAACTATCCATGGACTTGGAAGAGGCCAAAAAACGTTTGGCCGAGTAGGGGACCAAGTCGTGTATAAGCCGTGTTGATATATATCTTGGCATTATATAAGTGCAACTTTATATTTTGTATATATAGGCCATTGGACAAACTCAGTGCATCAACCAAAGCAACACAAAATTATATACCTGGTCAGATCGATATTGCAACTTGTTTAAATATGATGTTATATATATAGATATATATACGTAGAAATACTTGAATCAGATGATATATGCACGGTGTTCGTCTTCCGGCTGAGGCTCCGGGAAAAGAAGGCCAGGTTGAATCTGGCTGTGCAGAAGATGAAGTCTGAGCCCTTACACGAGCGGCCACGGGGACCAGCAGGCTTGAACATGGATCCATGACTGAAACAAAAGCTATACCATTGATCTGCATGACCTATCCTTTCCCTTTCCGTTAATTACGATTGATTTATCGATCTCCCCTCTGTTGAACGAATGTGCATGAATGCATGGATTTTTTAAAATATTTATATAGCGCATGATGGGACTCAATCCATGTGTCAGGCATTGCAGCTAATGCCACTCCTGGACCAGTGGCTCATGACACCGCGGAGACTCAGCCGCTTGTGGACATCACTGCGGTGCCAGTTCCAACAGATTCTTTGCTTCCAACATCATCCCCAGACATCCCATCGTCCAAGATGCGGGCCAACTATCAAATGAAGAGATCCAAGCCCAATTCTCCTGATGACACGCGATTGTTTCCAGTAACTTCGGTTTTACTATTTACACATATTTACACCACACACACACATATCCTGGACATGTTCGTGACAAGATGTTACAAATCAAAGTTTAACCATTTCTTTTTCCATATATACCACGTACATGCATGGTGTTAGTCCATATGGCCATGTGATGACAATATGACCATTATATGTATCCAAACTTCAACGGCCACCGTCACTCAGGCACCGCCCAAGACTGACACGGACAATGTGGCCAAGCCGGATTCTGCAGCAGGGGATGGAGGTAAACGTCCGTATGTCACCAGGGATGACCAGCTACGTATGAAGGCAGTAACCAAGGCCAAACGTGGAAAGGCAAAAGGAAAGGGAAAGGGAAAGGATGGTAAGAAATGCAAGAAGAGAGGTGGAAATTCCCGGAAGGCGAAAAAAAACCATAGCCGCAGGTTGAATACCCTTCGTGCCCTCAGCCCCAGCCCCAAAAAGAGAAAGGCGAGACTGGCTATAAATGATGCTGAACATGATGCAGGAGCAGAAGCAGAAGCGACAGCAGCAACGGGTCCAACAGGATCTTCATGTGACAACAAGATCAAAACGCGCAAGACTAGAAAGGCAAAGGTTGCACATGAGACGCCAGAGCATGTCGAATCACAACCAGCCAAAATTCCAAAGGCAAAAGCAGCGGCCAAGACACGAGCATCACCGAAAGCAAAGTCACGGGCAAGCAAGAAAGCAGACCCAAAGGTTTCTGCCAAGGCAAAGGCAAAGGCACGGGGCAGGCCCAAGTCCACCCCACCTACTTCCGCAGCAATGGTTCAGCAGATGAAGGCCAGTCATATGTATGTGGGGAACCAATGTGAAACGATCAGAATGTTTTGCATCCAAGTTCAGCAGCGGGGAGGGGACAAAGCTACATCCCCGTCGTTCAAGAAAGCAGCTCGCAGCTTCGTTCCTCGTGATCTTGAAATGTTTTACATTCAGAACATCTACTGGACCCGGGGCTCCGTCGGGGTGACAAGTACAGAGAGTGGCAAAGATGTTTTACATTTCAGTTTCAACCAATCATCAGCAAGCGAAGCTTACAAGATGGCTGCTGCAGTCAAATGCGCAATCATTGCGGTCACTCAGCATTTTTTATGATAAAGATGTTTAATGTTTGCTGATCTGTCTTGTTGTGTTGTTGTGCTGTGCAGTTCACCTGTGACATCAAAGCAATACTAGGCTGGTTTTCTGAGTTCAAAGTTTCTGTATGGTTTCAGGATTCTTGCAGGGTTGCTTTTCCCTCTATCCAAGGCGACCGGGCTGGAGAACAAGGAGGACTATAAAAAGGATGGCCCACTTGTCGAGACCCTCAAGCACAATGCTAGTTTGGCGTTGTTTTTGCTGGCCAATGAGCCAACGGATAGCTGGGATAGCTGACAGATTTACCACTGGTTTAGGGGATTGTATGCACACGGTATGGCCCGCACCATGCTCATAAGCACTTGGCGGTGGATCCAAATCTACTCTCAAAGTTTTTGGGTCTAAGTCATTTGCGATGTCAGTGCACATGTATTTACCATGCATGGCTAGATCGCCTGTGCTGCGGGGCTGAGTGGGCGGGGCTGCCTGGACCGATGTGCGAATACATGCTCAACAGCTATGAAGCTAGCTGCAAATATACTTTTGACAACATCGCTTCGCGCCAGTGGAGGAAAAGTTTCCCGATGTGTTTGCAAACGTAACATGTTTCTGAGAACGGACTCGGGTGAACCACTTAACCTTTTAATCCTTTCACAACATTGGGAGCCGCATATATATTCTGATTTGATTGGCGCATGTTGTCAATGCACCAGACCGGAACGGACATAGAATGGCACATACCTGGGACCTTGGTCAGATTATGATGATACTCCATCCATATATACTTGATCTTGAGATATAGTTGGGACATGTTGGTACCTTGGTCAGATTATTAAACAGGTTTGAATTGAGATGTATACTGACATATATTTACCTCCGTGGGTCGATATTCACTATATATATATACTATACAATTAACGTCTATATATAAATGCAGGGATCGACTGAGTGCTGCGCTGGCACTCTTCCAAAAACATTTCCTCATGTCCCATTTCCACGGCTCCTTCTGGCAGGTGCCCATGCCCAGTCGGCCGAAGAATGTCTGGAAGGTGCGATCGAAATTTTCAAAACGATGGAAAGGAAGTGGGGCTGGCTATGTTATAGAATGCAGAGCTGGTTGCGACATGTATACCAACATAGGCTAAGAGGCCGTATGTACAACTCAATTTTAGCGAGTGTCCTTTGTTTATTGTTTTGGACAACAACTTTGGTTTTCAAGCCTCTTATCCATATGTTGGTATTCATCAAGGTTCTCAAAAGGATCAGTTCATGTAGGGCGACCATGGAAGAATCGACATGCAACATCTTCATTTGACCGGAATGTCGAAAATGGAATCTGAGTTCTCGATCATTGTGCCATGCCATGTTGCAAGCCACAACGCCGTTTGGCCCCAGACGCCTTTGAAAGCTCGAACTTTGGGGTTGAGCCTGACCAGTGGTGACTGGGGTTGGAGGGAATGCCTTGTAGATACCCAGCTGATAGCCCGCAACTGGACGAGTTGTTCTTCCAGCTCAAGATGCTCAAGTGTCCAAAGGTTGGGGACCCAACGTTTTATCTTTATATGTTGACAGCAATTTGCCACTTGCGAAGATAAATGATATATCCGTGGTTGTTTTTGGTCCAGGGTTGAACCAGCCAAAATCCGATGAGGTGCTGGCCCTTTGTATCCTCATGATCATATGGACACCAACTTTCAAGTGCAACCAGGCGAGGAACAACGATGGGATCATGAACGTTTTTTTTGAAGATAAAAAATCCCCGATTCAAGTCACATGTCAAATTGATAAATTGATCAAGTGCCAGTGCCCAACATTTTCTATATACCCGATATCTGCCGTGGCCTTGTGCAGGAATACCAGCTCTTCGAGTTTTTCGCGGGGAACGCCAACCTGAGCAAGTGCGCCAGGGCCAGTGGGCTGACAACGGCATCGTTTGATATCCTTTTCGATGCTCAGAAACCTGGTCGCTCATATGGTTCCAACAGCATGGACATCCTGTCAGACTCCGGTTTTGCGTCTTTTGTCCATTCAAATGACGCCAAAGATTTGTGTATTGTCATCATGTGGTTTTAACGACATGATGGTCCGTTCATTGATATAAACCCCATGAGTTCAGTTCCTACGTGTGGGGTGGGGTGGACGCCTCTCAATTTCAATAAAGGTCCCAAACCTCTGCATATAAATTCGATCGTAAAAACTTGAAACGATATTGGGGTATTATGAGGAAACCATATATATATAGATCGACTGTTCAACCTTAGTCTATATGGTGGTATCTCTTGGTTGCCTATATATGGGGATGTCTCAAAATCAGATGATCTCCCTACATGGCAAGTGTTTTTTAAACCGGTTGCCATTCGACAACACAATGTTTATATCCCCATGCTGTCTTTCTTGATATGTGGCTACCCCCAGCATTGGTCACTATGGTATCCCGTCCGCGTTCCTTCCCAAGGCTGTGCCTGCATTCTTTGCTGTGCTCCGCGGAAGAGTTCCTTGCAACGTTTGCGATCAAGTGTTCGTCTTGGTCCGCGGTAAACCGCGGGACCAGCTTTCGAACACCATGTACTTCAATTGGGTATGAGGAGTACGAATCCGTGTACACCAGCAACACCATGGCTGGCCGGTTTCTTGATGGGGATATATAAGAAAATATGTTTGTGGGATTGATCATGGAGTTTGTATGTTGATAAAGTGATTTGTGATTGAGGCTATGTTTACTCCTGATTGTGGTGACGGCCCTGGGTGGAGCATGGTTTGTGGAACAGCCCGAGCAATCAGTTCTGGAATACTTTCCACCGTTCCAATCCCTACTTGCCCAAATATTCGAAGCCAACCGTGGGACTGCAGTGCCTAGTCTTCAATGGCTATAGCAGAGTTAATGTGTTGCTTTCATTTCAGTCGCATGCAACTATATTCAAATGCCTTTCCGTGTCATGGTTCAGGAATGGGTTGGACCCGTATGTAGAACTATATGTTGCTTTGGCCCCCAATACTTTCTGGGTAATCTTGGATGACCCATGAGAAATTGAATATTGGACTTCCATTTGTATGGCCAGGGTCACTGAATTTACCAATGCATACCATCTTTGTCCATGCACCCAGTCTATCACATATATATATATACCCCTTAAATCCCCTTAATATACCCTGTATACATAATATATCATATATACCTTTCCTCTCGCCTCCAGGTATTCCGTGCCAAGTGGTACATGGCCCACTACGGAGGCTTGAGTGCCAAGCCGCACTACGCTTGGGGCAACAGTCCCCATTTGTCACGCCTCTGCCTTGGTCCGCTTCTGGGGCGGCGTGCAAAGCAACCGTATGAGGGGCCCCTGAAGGTGAAAACCTGCAAGACCTATAAAAACAAAAAGGGAGAGACCTGCTATACTGGAAACAGTAACCTTCGCAAGTCAGAGCTGCTCAGCTCAAGCCAACAAATCACCAAGTTTGTTTTGGGGTAGATCGTCGTTTATGCTTTTGGGTTTTGAGATCGGAAGATGCGTTGTGGGGAGACATGTTGTGGGGGTACCACCTTTCAAGCCATGTGGTAACTTTTATTTTCGGGGTTGGGATGTGCTTTGAGGAGCCAATATAATTTTTAAGATGTTATATAAAATCAAAATCATGATTTATAAAATCGCATGGTTCATGATGGTTCATTTTGGGATATATGAAGACAATCATGTATGGTTAAGTACAGTTTTTGGGGTTCATATATGGTTGGAACATTACATGGGAACCTCGTGCATCTGAGGCAATATCCTGTACGGTTTGGCTTCAAGATTGTTGATCTCTATTCCGATCTTGTGTCGTCAGCGTTGGGAAAAACACCTGTGCCCAAAGTGACTCCGAAAGCCACCGAGTCGTATGAGGGAATGCCAGATGAAATCGGCGCCCTAGACTATGCCCAGGTAATTAACGTATTCAATTATCTCCGTCAGGGAAAAGACCTGATCATCCCAAATCAATGGTCGCATTTGGTTCCAAAGCCTTTGCTTTGACCGTGAAACCAGAATAAGAAAACCTTCAAACATACTTGATCACATTTCACCGAATTGTTTGATTTGGAAGGTCGGGGACCCAGATTGTAACCAAATAAAAAGTTAAGGTGGTGGTTTTAATGCAATTTCTGTTTTTTTTTGAAAATTGCGGAAAAAAAAGATAGGTTCCGACAGGAAAACCCGGTTTTCTACTATGAAAACCCGTATTTAACCCGTAGGGAACCCGTATTTCTGTCATTCCAATCAGAACCCCACTTTCTAGAACCCGTATTTAACCCGTAGGGAACCCGTAAAAAACCCGTAGGAACCCGTAAAAAAAAGATGGGTTTTCCACTTCACGGCCAAGGTGGTAATTATGTGTAATTTGGCCTCGTTTACGGGCCCGGACCGACTTTGACGTGCAATGATATGGCAAAATGTTGCCACCGATTGCCACGGATCATTCAAACATAAATTTTCTTGTTGTGGCAATGATGTTTGATTGCACCAAATTCACCAGACCTTGTTATCCGTCCCCTGCTGCATTCTAGAGATCACTTGGTGGGTTGGAACCATACCTATAGGTAGACTTTTAGGTCTCACCATGTCTCGACAGCCAGATTCAGCCATGGAGAGCTCCCGGCTTTGGAGTTGCGATACCCTAAAGGATGGCATCACCCACTTGATGTCAGAGGTCGATGCCGCCGATGAGGAAGAGAATCTACTAGAGATCATGATCAAGGACAGTGTTATTAAAATTGTTTAATGTCAGAATGCGCATCCTTAAATATATTTGTAGCACCCGGGCCTGCATTGCCTTATATCGATTAATTTTGGGATGCCCGGTATATATCCATTGTATATGGGCAGGACCTGGAAAAGAAGCAGTTGGCACTTGGCAGCGCACCGCCAGCCCCAGTGCAAAACTCAATCATATATTTACACATTGGACACTGGATGGAATGGGTTGGATCCTGTTTTATGCATGCCCCACCCTACAACCCCTTCCGTGCTGACTCCCCAGGTGCCGACCGAGCCAACTTTGGCACCGGACATTGCGAAAGCCGAGACCCTAGAGGCCTGCAGACGCCAGTGCGCATGGTATATATATATATATTGCATGGGGAGGGTGCATGTATAAATATATAGATGTGTTATGACGTGACCTACGGTATTTAATGGGTGATCGAGTTCGGATATATATATGATTTTGATGTTGCATTCAAACTTCCAAATGGCTCACAAGTTTAAAGGCTTTTTATGTTTATGTGTGTATATAGAATGAATCAGTTGAGGAACAATGCAACTTATATCTTTGATTTTATATATGATAGGGGAATTGACTTGGTCGATCAGGCTACTGCTACCCAAGTTCAAGAAGCACTTGCTCCTGGTGGTTTGGAACCGGCTACTCCATCTGCAGCTCCCACCCCTGTAGCAGTTACTCCTAGTCCCACTGAACCGGCTACTCCATCTGCAGCTCCCAGCCGTGTAGAAGTGACTCCTAGTCCCGCTGAAGCCACCCCGAAGTCCACGTTGGGTGAACAACCAAAGTCTACAGATGGAGATCAAAAAGCATCTGAAGTTGAGAGCCACAAGGACCATATGTTTTTGCATTCAACTATATATATAACATAGTCATCAAATGAAGTTAATATGGGGTTATTTTTTTGGGGAAACTTCCGAAGTTGGTCATGCATGATGATCACTGCACACTTTTGCCGCGCAGGATCAGGGTGCCTCCGTCCGGCCCATTCCTACACCAAATCGGACCGCCAAGCCTCGTGGGAAGACTCGCCAGGAGCACCCATTGATCCAACCTGAATCTCACATGGGAAGCCATACCATTCTCTATATATAACCGGTCAGCATATATTTACTATATATATATGACTTGACTTGACTTATATTTTTTACATGATCATTGCATGTATATAATATACGTGAGTTACGAATTTACACAACCAATGGAAACATCAACTTGATGGTGTTTATATAATGGGGTTGGTATGGTTTTGCAATGGCCTTTCCTGTCAGGAATTGCTACGCGATGCTGCCAAAGCCCAGATCCGAAGGATGTGCAAACCGAAAAAGACACGTAAAGATCTGAACGTTCCGGAATGGGTTGTTTCTGAATACAAAAGCCGACCCCAAAATGAAACAGCAGCTCTCCTGGTGAATTGCAACTTTGATAAGGCCGGTCATCCCATGTAGGTTACATGTGCAGTTTTGTCATGCAATCAGCAATGTGTGTGTGCATGGGGTACATATTCCTACATGCGTGCACAGGCACAGTTTATCGCTTCGCTGGAGATTGTGGTCAAACGCCGGTCATCCCAAAAGGTGACCATTGATGAGGAATGGCTGTCTGAGAAAGAAATGAAGGATGACTATGGATGGTCTACGTGCTTATCTCAAAGGGGTTTGTTACAACACCCAACTCATATAAAATCAGATGTGCATTCTTGAATCTATTGGGTTCTTGGGTACACCCATATGACCACAGTGAAGTGTGTAATGTTTACCTGTTGTTCCAAGGGCGAAGATCAACGGTGCAAAGGCTTTGTGCATGAAGAGATCTGCGACCCACATAAGGAGATCTCAATTCCATGGATGCATTTCCATGCAATGGATGTTGCATCAGCTATATATAATCCTTTTATATACATTGTCCATATATACTTTATTATGCGTAACTATATACTCTCTCTCCCTCTCTCTCCTTCGAACCATTTATATCCGTCCCTTCCCTTGGTCAACCGTCTGGCAGGAAAAACCTTTACGATGGCGTAGAGGAGTACTACGTCGTTGTCAAGGAGAAAGGACAGCGGGAACAGGAACATGTTGAAGAGGAGACACGGAGCAAAAGGAAAGCCTTGGAGGCGGGGTAAGTAAACAAGTTAATGAAGTGTATGGGTGCCTTGGTCGGTTCAACATTGGCTGATCCATCATAAACATCATGGCCAAACTTTATGGTCTATATCCATGTTTGGCTTTCCCTGTTTGGTCTCAAAGTAAAATCGAGTAAATGCCTCTTACTCCATGAGAGGTTCTTGTTAACCACTCTTGCCATCCGGAGGCTTCTGAGGAGCCGAACCTGTCGGCCAATGCATTTGCCGGCCTCAAAGCGATGGAGGACCGACATGCTGCAGAGGCTGCAGAACCAGCAGATTCTACAAGCAGCCAAGCCGATGAGGCCTGGTTGACCATATATATCATTGCCTGCATTTGGGCATATGGTGGCATATGTTGATATTGGTTAAATAGATATCTGGGTACATCGATGGGTATATATACGGGATATGGAATTTAGATGGTTGGTTTTCTGGTTCCCTGAGTTTAGTACCAAATTTCAAGATATTTCAAGATTATCCCACAACATAGCAAACTTATGATACCAAAAATATACCATACCATCCCTGGTCACATTTGTTACCGGAAATCCTTGACCAGACCAAGAAGAAGCTGCGGAAGTTCTTGGAGTCGATGATTCAGAAGTCAGGCAAAATCAGGTCTTTGGTGCGGGAGATCGCCGATGTCTACTCAAAAAGTGATGTCCTGCAGAAGTCTTCTTCTCAATCGCTCGAGACTTTCCACCTCTTTGCAAACATGTTGAGAACAGTTTGCTTTGGCCCTTCGCCGAATTATAGATCCACCCCTCGGCCGCTTGAGGTCCAAGCGCCAGCTGGAGGACGAACTCCAGAAACTTGATGGCCAGTACGATGTCTGCAACAATGTGATGGCCAAGGGTGAGGTGAATGGATTTGGGCCGGAGTGACGGACTGAGAAAAATATAGTCAATATATATATAATTATATATATACTTTACCAACAGATCACATTCAGTTGCACCTGCATGGGATTCAATGTATGCACTTATCATAAAAATGGAGTCCTTGATTCCACCCATCTATGAAATCATGCGGATGAGGTTCGTGACCCAAGCCACGACTGCCATGAACAATGCGACATACACGTGTGGGCCTCATGGCAATTTGTACCACTCTTCATGCGTATACATATTTATACAATATATACATTGATTGCATCTTCATGTCAACCTGACATGATTTCGTTCAGGTTGAAAATTGTTGACACATGCCCACAATGGCCCAGGTGCTCAACGGCCTGCGCAGCGGAAGCAAAGACGAGGTCCTTACCTCAGCGCATCAGCGCCATGCCCAGTGTCCTACTTATATACTTGCAATCTTTTCCAGGAATGCGAAACGGTATGAGAAGAAGGACGCTGATTTGCCCGGATCCCCACCTGTGAAAAAGGAGAAGAAAGATAAGACAGACAAACGTGACTCGAAATCTGTGAAGACCAAAAAACGAAAGGGCGAACCGGATGAGAGCGCAGTCGCCGAAGTTCCCAAGTCGAAGAAGTCCAAGAAAAACAAGTGATGTTTTGACTCGAGCTGATCATTTTTTGATCTTTGGGATGGATTGCCGATATATAGAGCAATCATTTTTTGTTGGAACTCCCAACAAATTTGTGTCACCTGAGGGAACCTGCAGGTCACCTGCGACCGACATGAAACAGGATAGCACCTGCGGGACTTGTTGAATTCTGGACTCATCCATGTCCGTGTTTGGTCGCCCATCCAAGACCCATCCACCTATATATGTTTTGGGCACAGTACATTCTGTGAATTAATGTGAATTTGTTTTTGGCATTTCATCTGCGGGCTGACTGGATGCGATGTCTACAGAAACAATGCTTCGCATTTGGGATTTGAAACCAACATCGATCGAGCGGAAAAATGGTTTCAATCTTGCTGGATGCATAGTGCCGCAGTGCCAACACCCTGCTATATCTTTCTTGCCAGGCCCCAACACCGTGTATGTATATATATAGACGAAATAGTATAGGTCCAACAACCGCCCGTCTGTTCTGGCCAGGTGCTGGCAATGCCGTGAAAGCATTCAGCAAAGACATCGGCCAAGGTGTTCTGGCCTCAAAGGCATCGGGAGTGCAGTGCATGGATCACCCAAGACAATGACTTCGATTCGGCCTACAAGCTCGCCATTTGGGGTCAATGGATGGAGCTTGCAGCCAATCAGAACGATATCATTTTCCCAGGTATATATATATATATGTTGAACCAAATCAATTTCATGGGCATGTGTTGAATAATACGTGCCCCGTATATATACTAATCAATGGATTACATTTCGTTTTGAGGGCTACCCCATGTATATGAATATAAGCAATGCATTTCTATTCGTATATATACTATACTATATAATAGAGCTCTGGCATTTACCGTTGCCACACATGGCCAAGCCATGGATGTTGATGAAACTCCAGATGAAGAGCTGCTGGATTTGCTTTGTTGTCACCGCAGTGACCCTTGGCCAAAAATACAAAGTTGATATGTATATGGAATACTATCTAGATTGTAGGAACCTACAAAACATATACCCAATTAATTGAATAATGATCGATGGAATGGAAACATGTTGTTACCAATTGTCATTGCGATCAAGTATAAACATGTCTTAAGGGAGTGTACGGTCATGTTTTCCCCATGATCCCACCCACGGGTCGATTATATGTCTCCATTGATGGCAGGGTATATATATAACAAATTATTTATAAGATGTGAAGGTCATCTCCTGTCATCCGTTTCCCAGTCAGCCATCAAGGAATCGGAAGGACCTTTCCCGTGGCCAGTGCCGCTAGGGCGGGGACGGTCTGGGACAGCCACTGGTGACGGCCTGGCGGCCGGAAATGGGCAAGGTTTGGGAGGCCTGTCGTCATCACTCTGTCCTCCCGTCGCCCCTTCAGTCCCGGAATGGTTGGCACATCTACCACTTGAACTTCAAGGGAATAAGCGCCTTCTCAACATTGCCGATGAATCTGCCGCCATGCCATGCATAGCTTTTGATCTACCACGGCCCAATCTTTGTGCCGGACGTGTGTTGGAACACTGTGTCAAAACAGTTGAGCGGATATACAACAAATGGGATCCAGTTATATTCAAAATTGGATGGACACATGACCCATGTTGGAGATGGAAAAATGACCTTTATGGTTACTGCCGTGCAAAAGAGAAATGGTCGAACATGACTATCTTGCACATTTCACATGAACCATATTCTACATCGATGCTGGAAGCAGCACTCATCTTATATTTCAAATGCATCTAGCCTGCATTCGATGTTGATGTTGCAATGACCACATCTTGAATCAGCAATGGCAAAAACTTTGGATGTGATTTTATATATATATATACTTCTTGGTATATATCATATATGGGTGAATATATATTTGGGGCTAGCCAGGGGCCAAAGTTTTTGACATTGCTGCACCATGCAAAGATTTAGCGGAAAACGCTTGCCGCGGTCGTTGGCGGAAACCCTGCGTTTGCCTCTCCCGTCCCAGGTAAGCGTGGATGCAAAAACATGCGATTGGGGGGGGACACCGTGAACACAGAGGAAGTGGACGGTGTCTCTATGTGTTATTTGGTGCACAGGTCATTCAAATTCAAGCCTCCGTGACCGTTGTGAAGGGTATCCCTTCACTTTTGTATATAATATATATCCAGGAGATTCCGAAACCCCAAAAAACAGGGTCTCTATGGAAAGCAGCGGCAAGAGCCAGCTAAGCTTTCGGCATCCATAAGCAAAAATCGTTCCGGAGTAAAATTGCAGCATTGCAGCGCATTGCAGCAGTGACTGGGATATCGCTGTCATAGCATGACACCATGAATTGGCTGCATGGGACTTTGTTCTCGATCAGACTGGGTTTCCAACGTATACCACCAACACCTCGACCCCTATATATTTGTACTTTTTCCAATGATTCCAATTTTTCCCGCCGTTCCAAGGTCTCAAGCTGCAGAGCTGCAATCAGAGCAGCGAAAGGCATTGTGAGCGATCTTGGAGAGGATGTCGCGGCAAAAAGCCGTGGGCTCACAGAGTTGAGCCGTTGTCATGAAACTACTAGCGAAAGGGATGTTGAAAGATTAACAAGAAAATTCAATCTTTCGCTCCGCATTCCAATCACTGAACTGCAGAAATCCCCTGGAGTGCGGTACACAGGGACATTCCATGTGATCGCTTTGCGGGATTGGATTCAATATATAGTCAGCCATGGCTTATGGCATGTGCTTCTTGGCCTCCACAACGCAGATGGCAAAAGAGAAAGGGCAATTCTTCGTGAGTTTTGGAGACTTTATCGGATAGCCCATCCGCAGCATCAACTGTTTGACGCCATTCAGAAGTATGCCATCGATGAGGGTCGACTCCTTCCAGTTTTGATGCATGGAGACGAGGGGCGAGGGAGAAAGAAATCTCCATTTCTCGTCACATCCTTCCATTCAGTTTTAGGCTTTGGAACCAACTTGGCCAACAGCGAAAGGAAAAGAAGAAAGTATTTGAGCATGAAACTTAACTACTGCGGCTCAACGAACACAAGCAGAATGATTTCTGGGTGCCTGCCCAAAATGAGCAAAGATGAAGCCGCGCTTCAGGATCTTCTGACTTATACGACGGGCGATTGCTGGCGCATGCTTGAGCATGGAGTTTTGGATGCTGATGGTCAGCGATACCATGCTGCCTGCATCAATGCAGTGGGTGACTGGATGTGGCTTGCAAAAGCTGGTAACCTGGAAAGGTCATTTTCAAACGTGCCCAAGAAACCTTTGGTCGCTGGCTCGCGGCCAAAGGGCATTTGCCACCTTTGCTTGGCAGGCCGCCCTGGGTTTGACTTTGAGAATTTGAGCTCTGATCCCGCATGGCTGGGTACTTTATTCACACCCGGAGACGAGCCATGGAAGTCTAAACCAATTTTATTGAGTTTGCCTCACGACCCAGCCCGGGCTGCAGGATTCTTTGCCTACGATGTCTGGCACGCTTTTCACCTCGGCTTAGGAAAGTCGTTTGTGGCAGCAGTGCTGGCTTGTATTTCGGATCGCTTTGGAGCGAGCACAGTGGATGCTAGGTTTTTAGAGTTGACAGACTTATATTTACAATTCTGTGACGAGTCTCGCGAGCCAGCATATATCACTGCAATTACCAAGGAATCTTGCGGATGGCCTGATCGGAAGACCTTCCCTAATGGCCAATGGCATAAAGGCCATGGCACGACCACGTGACTTCGTTTCTTGGAAAGCTGGTTCTCCAAAAACAATGTTGCGGATGATCTCATTTTATCCATGTGTGCCGAAGCAGTTGTGGTTCTCAACCGCTGTTTTCACGAAATGTACGCCAGTGACCTGTGGCTTGAAGTTTCTGCTTGCCATCGCATCGGTGGCTTTGGAATGCAATTTCTGTGTCTGTATCAACGGCTGGCGTTGGAAGCTTTTTCTCAGTCCAAAGCCCTTTTCGCTTACCTTCCCAAGTGCCACATCGTGCACCATATAATGATGGGTCTTGCCAAGACTCATGTTGCCAGCCTGAACCCTTTGACTTTCGGAGTACAGATCGATGAGGATTTCATCGGGAAGAAGAGCAGAGTAGCGCGCCGCGTGGCGCCTACTCAGGTAATCAAAAGAGTTCTTCAACGATCACTGCAGATCGCGTATGCTGATTGGCAGGAAGCGGGTTACATCAAGTAAGCAATGCAAAATGATGCGTGACTGGTGGTGTGGTTGGAGGATGGTAATGTATCGATGGAAACATGTGAGATTGTCAATTTTTTGGGATTTGTCAAAATCCTGTAATTCCACAAAACCTAGGTTTTCAATGGAAAACACGGCTTTCCATAGAGACCCTGTCTTTTTTGGGGTTTCGGATTCTCTTGGTACATATTAAAAAAAAATATATATTAAATAATATGTTTATAAACATATAGATATAAATAATATGTGTATATATATATTATATGTGATTATATATGTATATTGTGGTTTAATAGAGTTTATCTCATGTTTTTTGCTGCCACCAACAGTGTGGATGTACCCAAGATCCGGCACCATTTTGACTTGGGGGTCGATCCCTAGGCGCCTTTTTTTCAGGCCAACAACGACAACTCTCAATGTGAAATGATATATTATATCAGGATATTATTTTAGAATATTAACTATATATGGTATATTATGTACTATATATATGGTATATTATGTAATATATATAGTATATTACTGTATATTTCATTTTACCCACAGTGGTGATCATATTCACACTTCACCTAGGGTATAGTGAACCATTGGGATTTTCCAAGCCAACTTGGAAAATCCGACGTATGGCCAGCCACAGAAACTGCAATCGCTGATGTACACGTCCGTCGCGGCATAGAGGCCATCAGAGACCTGCTGGATCACCGATGACTGATGACACATAGAAAAGCGCCACAATCAACCAATGATTGTGGCGGTTTTAATTGGGGGACCATCCTGAAACAAGGATAAACTGTTACTGTAAATATTATTTAATCTTGCATATCCCTCAGCTACGTATGACTACTTAAGATCTAGCACTATCACCATTGAATCAAACTAATTACATCTGCATATCCTCTTCATTGCACCTCCCGGACCAACCTCCCAGATACACTCAATCCCATCGTCTAAACATGTGCATAAGACTACGCTTAAACCATGTTAAAACCGAATGAATAAATACAGTACAGGATGGGGCCCCCAAGATAGCTAAGTTGGTTTATAAGTGGCTTAACAATAGTTTATGGTAGATATAACTATAGTTAATGGTGGTTATTTCATGGTTTATAAACCAACAAACATCACTGGGGGGCCCCATCCTGTAGAGTTCATTCAATATGATCAACAAAAATCAAAAGTTGAAACCTGGCCATGTACCCCTAAACCACGGTACGTGATGGTCAAACATAATCATCTATAGGAAAGACATTCCTAGCTGGGATTCCTCCATTCAGACCCTGTAACAGAGGGCTTCAGATCCATAAAACATGACCCCTCAACCAACCATAAGTTGGGACAATATCTCAATGCATATATATATAACCCGTCACCCCTAAAACTATATGGTTGTAAAATCACATAGATTCATTCAATTATATATATATAATCATATATATTATATATAACTGGGGCAGCACCGGCAGCACCCCCCAAGTGTTTTGTAATCCCTTGGGGACCCTGTTGACCCGACCCCGGCACCGTGGGATGTCCACAGTGACTCAGATGGCTCCGGATCTGATGCTTTCGGCCCGTCAGAATCTCCATCCGCAGCAGGGAGAAGCTGCTGGAACCGCCAAGGAGTCGCCGGGAGGCCAGGACCTTGGCCGGGAGTTGGGGAAAACATGGGAAAACACGGGGTAAAAAGAATATGGTTTGGAAACCAAGGCCTCAACTTGGTTGATTATGTTGATTGGTCCCTTATTCAAATGGTATATGATTCTAATTTATTCGGTATTGACCCGGTATTGATTGGAAGCTGGTAGTTCCGGCCGACTCTGAGTTCCAGACGTTGCTGCGGCTGGATTTCCTTGTGTTGAGAGCAGGGTGCTGGGTGGTCCTATGTGACCGAAATCACCCTGGATCCACATCATTTTATCATCTTTTGGGCTGGCTTAGGCTTAACCCGCCGAGTGTTGGAAACCACACTTTACTGGTATTTCGTTCTGCTGTCAGGAAAAAACTCCGCATCCTCTCTATCCTACCTATAGGTGTTCTTTGAAGCTAGTATGTGTGTAGCAACTGAAGCATATACAGTATACTGTATTCCCAGCAATCCCCAAGTTCCAAAGAAAACAATGTCTGTATTTTCTTGCATTTATTAACGGATCGGTTTAAGGGTACAGCTTCATAGGAAACCCCATGGTGTTTACCCTATACCCCCGCAGGCGTTATCAGATCCCAGTCAAGTTTCCCGCGGCCACCTGCCACCGTTGGGCCATCATCCCACCAGAAGACGCTTGCCTGACGTTGGATTGTGGGCCGTGCCCAAGAAAGATGTCAATCAAGTTTGGCTAAGCACTACTCCACGTTAAAATTATGAAATTTTGGCTTAAGACCACAATACAAGTTGCACTGAAGTTCATTGTTAAATATACAACTGTTTGCAAATTATGATTTGCAACCATTACAGTTATACAGGCAATATTACAGTATGATTTTTCACAACAAAACAAATCAAACCGCTTGTTGGTCATGGTGACTTTTTTGAGTAACAGCTAGCATGTCAACCATATGCGAACCTATTAGTTACAAATTTGCTAGTAAAATTATTGCACTACTGTATATATAATAATAATTATTATTATTATTATTATGATCATTATGTTTATTATTATTATTATGAATATGCAAAAATGTATGTAGTATACATATATATATATATGCACGTATGTATAATATATATATATTGTGTATATATAGATATTTATATGTATATGGGATTCGGGATGTTACTATTATTACAATATCCCATTGTTACTAGTTGTTACTTCGGCTTCTGCGGCTATTTACGGCAAGCGGGCCTCGATGGCTCGTGGGCTGAGCCAGCCATGGGCCATCACCACCTAATCACCGTGGTCAGGGGTTCGGCACTTTGCTGTCTGAAGGGAAAGAAAACCTACCCAAGGGATCTATCATCATTTTTTTCCTACTGAAACTGCCGTTTTAGGTATGACTCCGGTATGACCGATTTCTGGACACAGGCACTTACAGTAGATGAGTGACTTCTGATCCAAAGGTTTCACCAAATCACGTGGCATGGGGGCTGAACATCATGGGGTGAGCGGTCAATCAAACACAATCTATTTGAGCAGCTGGGTGGCTATGATCCATCCCAAGTAAGTTGGAATCATCATCACTAACCGGTTTCACATGAAATATGGAATGAAGTCATGAACATCTTTGAAACCGCCAACCAGTCATTTCCACGCTGCGTCGCTATTTTTCAGTGCTACCGGGCCACATATTTCCTGGCCATTTCGGTGCTGAGTTGAACCTGGCAAGATCATGTCATATCAATGATATCATGATATATCATGTCATCATGGCTGAAACCCGTGGATGAAAAGTTAGACAGAATGAGCATGTTATCCTCCAGTAAATTAACATAGACCCTGGCAGATAGGGGTTGGAAGACTAGTTTCCATTAAACATTGGTGATTTTCAGGGTCTATGTTAATTTACCAGGGGGTACAGCATGTTCCTAGCGACAAGAAACAACATCGCCATCACGGTCACCTTACGTGCAGTTCCCATCCCATCGCCGCACCTGTAGGTCATAGTATGACTTATATGTCTTGGCCACCACCTCAGCTGTTCAACCACGTTGTCCTCCTAGATTCAGGAAATATCAGGAAATAGCCGAATCTGTTCCGAATATGTGTTTAAACACCTGCAAACTGGCAGGAAACACTGCATGATTTACACAGTTTACGAACATGTCATGTACTTTCTGAGCAGGAAATATCTCGAAATGTCAGCTTCCAAAAATGGGTCTTGACGTGGAAACACCCAACAAATCCCCCAACATGATCCAAAAACTCGACAATCTTTTTGGGCCCCTTCAACAGGCCCGGCTATGTACACTGGCTAATTCTTCTCCCCGTTTCAGGGTGGCTAAAGCCATGGTACAATGGTACACCCATGTGTTTTCTAATGGCCAAACAGTTGAACATGTTAACCCCAAACAAAGAAGTGGTAACCCTCAAATTCATGGGTGACCCCCATCATTTCATAAATGTCCAAAAAGTTGAATTTAGGTTAGCCTTTAAGGGGATTTCATTGCGTTCAGGGGTCCTTTCATTGCATTCAGGGGTTGATGTGGCATAATTTTAACTATGAAGGGGATTTCACTGCTAGATTGTGGTATTAATGTGCAAGATGGTGGGCTCAAGCACCCTTAAGGGGTGGTGAGCTTACGGTGTGCCATGGCTGGAGAAACTTCAAAAGGATCTTCCAGTCGTCTGAAGTTTCTAGGCTGCAGCCTCTTATGCTTAGAACCTCATCTTTTTAGAGCTTGTTTGGCCTTACCCTGAGAGTCTGTCAATTTCGATTTCCTATCTTAGGTTTTTTCGATCGTTTCGTCCGAAGGATGATGCTAGTGCCCCTGGCCAGACCTTACCTGAATCTGGGCCAGATCTTCGGAAGTCCTTTTTGAGAAAACAGGTCCCTGATGCCAATGAGAACTCCAGTGGAAGTGTGAATGACAAGCTGGTCGTTGTAGATCTTTCGTTGGAATCTTTGGTTCAGTTTCAAAATGAGCACCTCACTCACACAGCCCATATCGTGAATCCCCCCCAAGAGCGGAAGCGACCAAACTATGACGGTCGGAAGAGGAAGTTCATGGCTACCCAGAGAGTTGACAGGAAACAGTTTCTTGCACTGTGCTTGGGTTTGGTTCTCTGTTGGCCAATTAGGTTTTATATTGTATGGTATTTTAAGATGATACTAAGAGTTTATTCTAAACTGCCACGATTAGCTTAGCATGCTGAGGCAAACTGCGAATGGTCGATCACCATTGAGGGTGAAGAAGGTGTTGGGGAAGAGTTGCCGCTGCAAACGCAGCCAGTGCTTTCAACGTTTCAAAGAGGATGATTTGGTCAAATTTCTTCAAATCTTTTGGGGCTTTCGCAAGCCAATTCAAGATGCTTACGTTTCATACTCAGTGTTGATTTACTTCAAGTTGCAGAGTTGAAACTAACTTCAAATATCAGTGTTTGTTTTGGTGTCGCAGGGAACCTTCAAATTTTATTGCCGACTAAGATTCACCGAATGGCTTCCACAGCAAAGGGGAGTGCAAAACAGTGGATGTTGCTAAGCAAACCAGTTGGCCCCCGAGGCTTGGCCACCTTACTGGGCATTGGAAATGATAGACTTCAGAGTGCGTCCCATGGCCGTCTGGATTTGCGGTTTCGCATATGCGGTGAAGTAGCTTTGATTTAAGTTGGTTGTTGGGGACATCCCAGTCAAGGTATTAATTGTGGGTAAATGGTTTGTTTTAATTTAGGTTCTGTCTCTTCCAACATCTTCCGACTGTTTCCCTAATGTCCTAATGTTTTAAGGTTCTGGGGATGCCTTGCCTTGCTTCAGGTACGCCCTCGGGCTTCTGTGAAGAAGAAGATCGTTGACATGCATCTTTTGAAACTCTGGCAGAACGCAGCAGGAATGCTTCCCAACCGGTGTTTCGATTTAATCTTACGATGGTCATAGTCTATTTTTCCACAGCTGGATTTTATTGTAATTTTGCCTAGTATCATTCAATCTTGCCAAGGTTCCAAAGAGGGGGCTCCACACGGAAGACACAGAAAAGGGAGACGAAACTTGAAGTGGTTCTGGGCCATGATTGTGATTCAGACACAGACTCATGCAACAAGACAGCAGTTAGGCGTTACGATTGAGAACTAAAAGTAACTGCGGTTTGGTTTGTTTTTTTTTTGACAATTCTGTGGCCCACCTCAATAATTTCTCTTCAACCGCTAGCCCTTAGGTCCTTCAGAAGGGATTCCAGAGCCAGCATTCTCAGCTGCCGGGGAGCAATTGGAGGAAGATGAAGAACTGCGATGTCATATCTATGGTTGCAACAGTTTCTTTTCCAAGCCTGTTCCTCAAACCTGTCTTTTTCCAATTGAAAGCACTGAAGAGGATGTAGGTTGAAGTATAACACGTTTAGGTATCATGACTGATGCAAGGTACATAGAGACGGCCTTTGCAGAACAGATTTCCGAGCTCCCCACAAGATATTTGCCCCCGGGCACTGTGAAAATGATCTGGTATGAGTTCAGCTTGACTTGCAAGACCGTTTCGACCCTTATCTTATTATATTTTCTTTCTTATCCTATGTTCCAAGTTTCAGTTTCTCAACATGGTGAGTTTCAGGTATCGTTTTTATAGTAAATGATAGGTGATTTTTCGGCACCTGGCTCCCCATGATGCCACATAGATGTTCCCTCCATTTGCTTCTCAGGTACTTGACGTTTTGGAGAAGGTACAAAAGCGTGTGGGCAAACACACTCCGATTTCTGCCCCAGACTACTCACGGGACATGTGATACCTGTCTGGACTGCAAGGAACGATTCAAAACATGTCAGGATACTTGGTCAAATTTTAAGGCAGCAATAAAAGATTCAAACTTCAGTTCAAGTCTGGTATATAGGGGATGTGGGGATCAGTGCCTTGTTGCTCAAAATCATGTGTTTCCGCCCAACTTGCTGACCTAGGATGCCCAGTCGAAATTTGAGTGTGCTCGTCTTTACAAGAACCACCTGGCCATTGTGGGGGCAGATCGAAAGTTAGAGGAGTTTCTACAGGCTAGATATCCAAGACTTCATCCCAATTTTCGAAGTGTCTGAAAAAGCGTGCATTTTTTAAGAATTAAATAGGAAAACGCTAGGTGCAAAGTCCGCTCGACGACCCCGATGCTCCGCTCTGTATCCATCAAGTTTCTAGGCAATTGGATGTTGTTGCTTCCATTTTCCCTTACAAAAATGGTGTTGCCTGTTGACATTGTGACTGACTTTCCTTGGTTTGATTGGGGGCACATGGGTTCCTAAGGATGGGATGGATCAGTCTAAATGGAGCCTCCCGCGAAACCGTGTTGTCCAGTCTTCGAAAGAGGCTTCTTCTATGATTCGGCCTAGAATGAAGCTCCATGGAGTATGGGTCCATGGAATCGCGTTTAATCTATATGTGTGCCACCCTGGTGTACCTGCAGATTCTAGCCTAATCGCTGAATGCTTCTTACGTGCAATGGAAGACACAGCTCGCATCTTTGGGCAACACAATAAGAGCTTTCCAAAAGAATGCTGCATATGGGTTTCCAGGCTACTAATTGGAGTATGAGTTTGGTTTGTTTTTTTCTGTATACTGTCTTTGCACGCTGTATGGCTATATATCATATATGCACAAATATGTGCCGAAGACTTTTTGTTAGAGTCTAGTTGTTAGACATGGTCTAAGGCCGACAATACCGTGAGAGAAAACAAAAATAATTGTTCCTTGAAGATGATGACGTTGCTACTCGGAAGGCAGCGGCTGCGATGCAGCTCGTTGCTTTTTGCCAGAACTGGCCACACACATGGTTGTTTGGGAAGCTTGCTTGAATGATCTTGAGAGCAAACTGAGCTTACACCGAGTTAATCAGGAGGTTGTTGATTTTGAAGCTAGCCTGTCCGCCGATTGTTCATTTCCCGAATCAGCTAAGACCAAATGTATGGATTGCTGGCTGCTTGCGTTCGATATATTGATCTGATATGTGATGTACCAGATCTGATCGCGCCGCTCATTTTTAGTTGGTTTTCTACTGCTACTTCGTGGCCATGCCTTTTTTTTCCCCCGGGCCCCATATTTTTTTTATGTTGTTGGGGTGCTGCTAGTAACCTGATGACTCTGAGGAAAATCCGTGGCATCTTGGAGCGGATCAACATCAGGAAATGGATTGGACCCCATGCCAAGATCAATGTTGAGTACCTAACATCATGTCGACCTTGGAAGTTGTGGCCACTTGATGCCAACATTTTCCCAAACATGGCATTTTTATGGTATATTATGGTTACCTTATATATATACTAGGCTTGAATCAAACTCAAAATCCATCGAAGTTGGTTCGCAGCCTTTTTTTCCACCCGGCCCTCTGTGTTTCGTTCACCCTTTGGTGTTTTGCCCATGGCCACACGCTGCAGGCTCGATGCCAACCTGCCGGTGAGGTTCCAGGGTGGGCTGAAAGGAGATAGTGAAGGGCATCATGCCTACATCTTTTTGCGCAGAGCAGGCCTGTATTGGAATTTGTCAAACAATACATGGTTTGTGTCTATTTAATTAACATCAGAATCATTTGACTCAAGAACAAAAATCCCTATTCACTTTTCTTCCTGTCAGATGTCCCACGGAATATCAACATCCTTTCGGACGACAAGCGGGGAGAATTCCAAGACCATGAACTTGACGTGATATGCTTCGTGAAAAAGAATGCATCAGATAGAGAGCTGGCACAGGCTGCTCAGCTACAGAGTGTGAATAATATTTAAACAAACCCCATGTATATCTCAGATGATCCACATAACAATCATCTTTTAACTATTAAAACCTTTCTGCATCTTAGGAGGGAATTTTGGCATTGCCATACCAATTCGTTGAGCGAATTCATGGTCAAGCACCGCTGAACCCTCGAGTACTGAAGCTGCCAGAACAAAGCAGGGCGGCTAAGTACTTAGAACTGGCCGAGTTGCTGTTGAGACGCTTCCCATCAGAGTCCAATGGACGGGTGGCTAAATTTCTCATTGATCTTTGCAGGAGTACTGACCCGGGACCCCTGGCCCCAATTTCGTGGTTCACAACCCAACAAAGGCAGGATTTGATTGAAATCGGATCGCCTGCTCTCATTGCTAGGATAGTACCAACACTGCGGTTAGAGGCCAGATTTGCCCGGCGATGAAAGGGACGAAAAATTGTTCTGCTTTTGACTTGATATCAAATTGCAAACATTCAATAATAGTCATTATAGGGTTTGACTGAAATTGTCCCCGTTGGTTTGCCACATCCTCAAGGATTTTTTAGGCGCTGAGTTGGTAGTGTCGACAGTAGCCACCACCATGGATTCTGCACCTACTACGCCTACCCGGGGGCCTTACAGGCCAGTTTGTGTGATTGACGTGTTTCAAACATCCTTTATGGGGGTTGAAAGAAAGTATTGCTTTCACCATACCTCCCTGCGACTGCCCCAGGCGGATGAATGCCCAGGCGCCTCAAGTACCCATTCCATTCTTTCTCAGCAAAACCATTGCCAGCCTCGGCCAGGTGTGGGATACTTTGGGCGCAAGCGTGGCTGTAAATAAATGCAAGGACTTCAGACCCTTCAAATTAAAATCATTTACGCTTTGAAAGAATTTCCAGGACCGATTTGAAGATTACCAGTCGCAAACCTTTGTCACTGAATATGCCTGCGACACCTTCTCCACAGAAAAGGCCCAAAAAAAGAGTTGAATGCCTTTCCCATAGTCAGCCTATTGGTTATATTCTTTTTACAGCCAGGTGGCATCACCAGCGCTTACCGAGTCAGAAACAGATTCTTCTGAGGTGCAAAAAAAAACAACAATCCCCTGCAATAATCCATGTCAGCCTCTGCCAGGTACAATGTCTCAACGACAAGCTTGGGATTCCTGCTGGCTTGGGCGCCAGGAGCTTGATGACCTGGATGCAAAGCAATTGATTGGACCAAGAGGTTATAGTGATGTTTCTATCCAACGTAACCCACTTAAAGTATGGAGAATTATGTTATATAATAAGCCTTCAATTTGTAGCCTTAGATCAGTGTAGGAGTGGGATTGGTGCTGCCTTGTCACAAGAAATTTAGATCTTGAGGTTGACTACAACCCTTTGAACCCATGGGAGAACGAAGATTCTCAGGCCAGTTGTTTTTGGTTTTTGCAGCGGGGAAACCTTCACAGTAAATCCGTGCCAGGTAGACCCGGATGTGCTTCAGAATTATCTGGACAATGACCTCAAAAAGGCTTACTACTTGATTTTTGAAACCTCATTAGCTGGTGGTGTTCTTGTGCTGTAGCCCTATTCTAATCAGAATTCCACCTGCCAGGAAAACCCTGCCCTTTATGAGAAATATATGGCGGACTGTCGTGCGAAGGCTGGCTTCAAATTTCTGAGACTGTGACAATATTTCAGTGTAGAATTGTTCAAAGAAAATAAGTAACAAGCTTTGGAGGTGGACCAGTAAATGATTGTTATTCTGTTTCAAGCATTGCTTGATTGATGCGTTAGCATTTCCTCGGAAGGCCCAAGCAGACTCTGAGGACCTCGCTGAAGAAAGCCTGGCGACCGAACAGCCTCCAGCTGTGGCCGGGACATCCATGCAGAATTTCCAGGATTGCTATGACACCACGTGCGTTTGTATGTTGTGCCAGTATGTCAATACTAAACATGTGCCCCTTGATCTCTTCCTTCGGAAGTGGAAACATGTGTGGTGGCCACCCATTGTGTAGGAGATCTGCAAAAATAGCCGCAGCTTAGAGGAGACACAGGTCGGGTGCCCTAGAAGGATGTAAGGCTTGGTATGTGGAACATCTTGAAATCAATATTTTTTTTAATGTTTGATGGTCAGGAATTAATATGACACTCAGAAACCAGCGGCCACATTTCAATGATTCTCATACAAGTTACTTCCTTGGGTCACCATCCGCCACGCTGCCAGGCTGAGCCAGGCACAGAGGCACCGGCCAAAAAGGCCAAGCTGTCTCGACCTTTGGGCCAGCCCGAAACCAATTAGAGTTATTGTAGGTCTCAATTTGACGAATGGGGTTGCAGGGCATAATACATGTTGCCCTGTTGGGATCTCTGATGGTTTCCGTTCATGCGGAAAAGGAGTTTGTCAGTCATTAAATTTGTTGCCAAAACATGATGCACAAGCCGACTTGACAATCCACAAGACTTTGGACTGTTGTCTCTCTTACATTTTCTTACCTAACTGTATCTCACGCAGCGCAGAAAAGGGCCTGGGCCCCTCAAGGATCTAAGGATGCCAGTGAACCTTAGGCAGGCTGTAGCGTCTGCAGTGCGCCGAGATGTATCAAGGAGCCAAACATCAAGTCAAGTCTACTATGTTTTCCAAGACCGTCTTGCACTTCAAGTTTTTGTTTTCAAAAAAAGTGTTATGTGAGAAGGAGTGCTATTTCTATGAAAGATCAACGTGGTGGGAGGACCCAGACAGCCACCCAACGTCCAAAACCCACATAAAATGTCATTGTGGCCTGTCTGCAGGACACAGAAGAACGTCCCGGTCCAGAAGAAGCACTTCTTGAAACAAAGCTCGAGGTGTCGATTCATCTGTGATCGGCCTGTACTGTGACATTATAATGATACCAAATCAAAGTAACAATCAGGTATACCTAGACCCTCCAAGTACCAATATTATTTTAGATGGGTATTTCGAGGGTCTAGTCATTGAGTTAGATTTCATACGGTATGATGTCACCATTTTTTATCTATAAATGCCTGATGCCAGGAGGAAACGCTATCCCAAGACTACGGTTCTGGCAGGTTCTAGTGACCACCCTTGTGGGTTCAAATCTTTGGAAGAGGCATACCAATGGCCACACCTTTTCTTATCCAGAGTCAGCAACAAGTTTGGAAAGGATTGGTTGGTAAATCGTCTTCGCAAATGGCGATGGACTTTTTCTTCAAGCTTTTCCGGAGTGGGTGCTCTCGAATCAGTGGTATGCCCAGCTAAGTAAGGTGTTACCATCAATGGTTTAACGATCCTTAACGATAATATCGACCAGCCCGGCCTGAGGCCCTCACCAGCTTGGAATCTGCAGCAGTTCACTTCCTGGAAACACATGGGGCCCGGAAGCCGACACACAAGAAAGTCTTGTACCAGTTCACCTGTGAAATCGATGCGTCGTGCCAAAAGGTTTTGCAGAAGACCTATGGAAAAACTTGCAATTTTCCTGATATCATAGCCTTTGACTCCAAGCAAAAGAAACAGTATTGCAGTGTCCATGGTGGGATGTGCACGGTTCAGAAGCATCAGCGCACCAACCGATACTTGTATATATTATGAGCTGCTATCAAGATGATAATGATGATTAGTCTTGCAATTGATCATATTGTTCCTGATGTACCCTTCAAGTCTAGCCTCCTGCTTGTCCATCCAAATCCAAGGACTGAAAGTCAACGGCTCTGGACACAACCTCAGTGACGGAAATGGTCATTTGAATGTATGTATGTATGACATAGTTTTGTGGGGCCAAGATTATGTTGGAATTCCTCAGCAACTGTTCGCCTAGGTCCTATTTGTACCTTGTTCTCCAAGATGGGACCGCAAACTGGTACCGAAGACCCCCAGTTTGTCACTCATGAAAAATACTATGAAAATATATCGAGAATTTGCAATGTTATGCTCATTGAGAATGTGCCAGAATATGCTGAACGTGTCGCCAGGGATCACCTAGATCCGTCATGGTTGCTAGAGAGCGCGGTGATTGACCCACGCATCCTGGGGATACCCTCGGCAAGAAGTCGACTCTACATTCTGGCTTTCGATACAAAGACTGTCACCAAGAGAGATGATGTGTATTTCAGCCGCAAAATAGTTCATAAGTAACCACTTTTTGAATACCATTTGTTTGAGGTCTGGTGCTTCAAACTTAAATAAACGGAACTTGATCCAATCCAAGGACACTACTTGAGCTCATTGAGACATTGACGGCCAGAACCGTTTCAACGGCCAACATGTCCGTTTGGATGAAAATCCCTCGCTCAATCCTCACTCCATCTCAGGAACCTAGATGAGCAACCAGTTGATTTCTTGACATTGTTTCCAGAAAAAACTAACATCATGCTGAATCTTGAAGTCTTGCCAGGAAGACAACTTGGCCGAGTACCGCAAACTTACGAGGAAGATTAGGTTTCCAGATCTTTCCCAGTATGCAAAGAATGGAAGGGGGCGGGGGGAGTGCAAAGATGGCACACTATGCACACTCACCACATCCTCAAGAATCTACTCTGAGGACCCGTGTTGACACACAAAGTAGATTATGTCAAACTATTAACTCCGCGGTTTGTTTATTACCTAGTAATGTAATTGCGGTTCTTTTCTCTGTAAGAAATCATTCATGATGTACCGTACCCCACTGTTCAATCCAAGAGTTTTGTTCGTTCATGGGGAATAGTTTCAAGATAATTTTTGCCAGTCTTCCATGCTTCCAGGACAACAAGCGGTTCTTGGCACCACGCGAACTCTTGTCGTCTCAGCTCTTGCCGGTGACTCCTGAGCATGCCCGGTTGTCAGGGGCGCCTATGCTTGACTTAACAGGCGTCCCTACCAACCATGCTTCAAAAATGGCTGGTAATTCGATGAACACAGCTTGTGTAGGGTTATTCCTACTTGCGGCTGTCCTCATGCTTGACATGAAGTGATTGTTTTTTGGGTGCTAGGTGAGAGTTGGAGACATGTATGTCACCATGCTACGGAAAATTCAATGCTCATGCCCATCAGAATGAAAATGAAAATGAGACAGGTAATGAAAATGAGTATGAAATCTTACCTGTCACTGTCTAGTGAGCTTATAACTCGAATATGATCACACCTGTTTGGAGATGCAATGGGCTTGGGCAAGATGCAGAGTCGCTATTGACAATTAGATGACAACTGATTGGACCCGTCGGCTCCGTTGTTGAAAAATGAACCAACACTTTACGGTCACTTGGTCCTGAGATGGCTTGAAAATCAATGACGGAAGTTATGAAAACATTCTGAAGAGCCATCACTTCCATTCAACTTCAATTAGCTTCCAATCCAAACTGTCACAATCCCGCCACCAGCAGCGCTCAAGTTGGTGACTCAGCGGCGGTCCTGCGATTGGCGCCAAAGGTGCCAAGGGTCAGGGCTGCCAACATGCCTCAGAAGCGGCCGCTGAAGGACGATCCGAACCCGGGTTCCAAACGAAAAGTGAAGCTACAGGATGAGACTCCTTGGGCTAGTGGCATCTATGCAAAGATCAAGCCCCTAACACGCAGATAATCTATTTTGGACATCTTTCAACTTTTGTCTAAAAGTCTTGGGATTAAAATTCATGACGAGTTGTTTCAAGCCTGATGCACTGGATGTTAACCTAGGACTTTTGATGTTGAGAATGGTGACCACCCGGTGCAGTTCCTGGTCGACAACTTCACCCACGAGCTCTATGACCCGATTCAAACATGGTTGGAGGAGCTGATGCCGGGGTTTCCGAAACCCAAGGACTTCGCAGCCCCTACCAATGTTTCTTGGAAAGGTGGTCCAGATATCTTTAACCCTTTATAGCCACTCACCTGATATATGTCTCATTTATTGGATATCACATGCCCCAATCCCCAATCAACCCACCTGACTACCCATCCCTTATCTCAGACTGGGGGATGGGCTATGAAAGTTCATAGGGGGATACACCCTGAGTCTCTAACAGCTAATGATAGCGAAATTGAACGTCAAAAATGAGAATCTTCTACCCTTCAGTGAATACCCCATGAGGCAGAGTTGAAAGAGGTCATCGATGTGCCAGTTCTGGCATTCAAGTTCAAGCAACCGGTGGATGGATTGCCTTTGTTTCACCATTGGCTGTCAACGGCCAAGGGGCTGTATATTGAGGGATACGAAGCCCTTCGAGAACTTCCAGAGGTGACTACTGAGGTGGTCTTGATGGGGCGCTACATGGACTACCACACAGTATCCACAGTCAAAGGGGTTGGACGGCTGAGTATCATTCTCTTTGGTATCACTTGGACCTACCTGAACAAGGATACCATGGATAGCGAAGCCAAGACTGACTTTGTAAGGCATAAATGGGGACATGAAAACCCAAAATAATATTTTGGGAACATTAAAAAAAAAACAAAATAATATTTTGGGAACATAAAAAAAAAACAAAATAATATTTTGGGAATTCTTTGACAACATCACATCCCAAAATAATATTTTGGGATGCCCACAGCCCGGCCGCAAAATAATATTTTGGGGAACCATACCACATAACAGCCAAAATACATAAAAGGGTCGTCTCAAGTAACTAAAAATCTCAGCCCAGCTGACGTGATGGTTTGGCTGAAACCGTCGTCTCAGCCCATAGTGCTTTGAAAGGATGATGGTCCATTTCCCATCTATTGTTAGGCATTTCAAGCAGACAAAATATTATTTTGGCTCATTTTGGGACAACATCAGGTATTTTGGGTTGCCAAGTATATCTGTAACTAATTTGGGAGCCTTTCAGGGACACCCTCCTGAGGTGATGGTTTCAGTGAAACCGTCGTCTCAGAAGTTTGATAAAAACAACCTCCTTTGAGGTGATGCTTTTATGTCACCAGGTCTCCACACCTCCTCCTGCCAGGTGGCTGGAAACTGTGAAGATCATCAAGTCCAAGTTCACGATCGCACCAGCCTCCGAATGTGTGTGGAGGAGGCTGCAGGTTCATGAACAACAGTCAGAACGCCAAAGGAAGAATGTGCTCCAAAAGACCATGACCTTTCTTTTCCGGGCAAACGAGCTCGCATGGAAGGATCCCGAATGTTATCTGAAAATTGTTTGAAACATAAAATAATTTTCAAATTCAATTTCAAGATTAACTACAGGCCTATTTAATGTCAATAATGCCCTCAGGACCCACGAAAGTATGGGAAGCTCAAGGATGCGTGGATGGGAGCCATTGACGAATACAATGGGTACGGTCTTGCCCGACACAGTGCTCGGTACAGAGTGGATGAGGAAACAGCCCTTCAGTTGTTTGGTTTCAAAGCGGCTTAGCTATATTGCATTGGGGGTATATATTCTGGTGCGGATACCACAGCAGCACTTAGTATGTTAGGCCCGCTAGATTACCCAAATTCAAAGTGAATCAAATCAAATCATATCATTTTACATAATTTCATCTTAGATCATATCATCTAATTTCATTTCATTTCGCACCAATTCATATCATTTCATTTCATAATAAATCATCTCATAAAATATCATCATCATACCAAATGAATTCATATCAAATCAAAACAAACCGTCTCAATTCATATCATCAAAGCATATCATATCATGGCATATCATGCCAAACATGTTGTAGCATATCATGTAATATCATATCGAAGCATATGATCATAATATGACATATCGTTTCATATCATATCATATCACATCATATCATAATCAAATAATCATAACATACCCTTATCATACATGTTTGATCCCATACATCCCATATTTATTTCATATTGTATCCGCCATTGGCCATCCACCCTGGTCCTCACCTTGGTTGCTAGGTCGGAGTGGCGGATGACGTCTTTGGCCTCCTGCAGGCGCATTTGCATTTCAACAAGTTTGAGACCTCAGGCTGGAAGTGTGGAGCCCAAACAAAATCCGATGACAAAAATCTTCTAAGCTCAGCTTTAAAGAGTTGAAAGCATGGCTAGTTAGCTATTGCATGAAAATAGTATATAAATGAATGTTATCATATAAACTACCCACCAATGAGCTATTAATATCAACCCTGAACCCTGCAGCTTTCTCCAACGCCCTCCTGTTGGATGAGAGATGGCTGTTGGAGGGGGGGCCACAGAACCAATGCGCTCGAGCCAGTCACTTGTGGACCAGGATCTTGACAATGGATTCCGCCAAACAAAGGCTTTTCATAGAGCGGGTCTTGTTCATGTTCGGAATTTCTGCTCGTAAGTCCAAGACGGGTACACGACTGACCCTTGCCGAATGGAATGCTGAGTGCGACCGGATGTGCTTGGCTGGGCACATCTTACGGGAGATGTCAGTTGCTTCCGATGACCAGGGCGACCAGCTGTTTCCAGATATCATGGATGCAGTTCGCACGCGTACTATTGAGGGGTACCTCTGATTGTTTCTGGCTTTTTTTACAGGTTGGTCATTAGTTATTTTCTGAGTTTGGCCTAGCCTCTAAAAAAGAAGGTTTGTGTTTTTCCTTCATTTACATATCGATCTAAGGGACTTCAACCCGGAGTTCCAAACATACCTTACTTGTTTGGATGGGAACTTTTCTTTCGAGGAGACCACGATGTTCACAGAGTACGCACCAGAGGTTCAGGACAAGACACAGGAAAAGGTTGACAAAGCAGACCAAGACATCAATTCCCTCACAGCCAATGCTCGCAAGGTGCAATTCGAGGCAGACAGCCTTGCTCTGGCTCGGGACCTCGCCCAGGTGGGGAAACTTTACAATGAGATGATGAAGACAGAGCAAGCAGCTCGGCAAGAACGCATGGTTCACCTGAGGGGTCAGAACGTTATTGGGGCTTCAATCGTTGGAGACTTCATGGCCAATCACATGGCCGTTCATGCTGGCCCTGCCAAAGACCTCATCTCCCTGGCTGAGAGGGTTCTGTGTTGTCAAAATTGGGGGTTCAAGGTTGTAGGGTTTCAACGGTACGGATTAATGTTTTTTCAAATGCCCTGCTTTTGGAATCAGTGTTTGGAAATGTTTGGCCACCCCTGTCCAGATGCTGGCCCGGTTTCCAGAGCACCCTGTGATTGTTTGGTGTGATCTCATGAAGCGGGGACGGATGACTGGGAGTGATGTGGATGAGATGAGTGACGTCCTATCAACCATCCTCAAGAAACGTCCGGGGAAGGCAGTCGGTCTGGTGATAGCACCATTTTTGGTGTCAGAGAGAGTGCAGGGGTATCGAGCGGAACTGAGGCGAGGTCTGAAACCAATGTCGTTATGTTAATTGACATTTTTCAATCAAAAAACCAAAGCCTGATGATGATGAATTATTTGATGTAAATCAGTGCGATATATGTTTTCCCATCAGGCGTTGGGAGGACAAGTTCGATGCCAAAAATTTACGATCCAGTTCGATCTCAATCAGATGCTGTCCACCTCAAGCCAAGCGCAAAGTCCCACTTCACTATGATGGTTGGGTCTTGATGCCCGAAGCTGGGGGTTCTGAGAACATCTTTGGCAATTGCTTATTGATCCAAGACAGGCCCCCTGAACATCCGTGAAGCCATGTCGTTGTTACCCTGGGGTAATCTTTCAAAAAATAGTCACGTACTTATTGTCTGACCTCACCTTGCCCCTTACCATCCTCAGTCCTTCAGCAGTTGTAGCCCATCTTCGAAGGTCCAATCGTGCTGACATACCTCTGCAAGCGGAAGGTGCCTACGTTGTCCCAAATGCCGACAAGGACATGCTCTGCCATGCAAGCGAGGGAACAAGGCCTAGCATAGGGCCTATAAATCAAAACAAGGATATAGGGTACCATCCAAGAGTTCATATAGAATCTTACTATTTATTATTATTATTATATTATTATTATTCTCATTCTGTTGCAAAATCATCCAAGGTTTCTATGAAAACAAGTGGCTAGAAATTTGACCAGAACAAACCCCATCTTTAGATTCCAGTAAGACAGTGTCCGTGCAGGTCCCTGAGTGATGTGCAAGAGTCTGCACAGTTTCTGGCCGGCGAAGCCCTTCCCCTGAGCTTGCTGACCTCGCTGTTGGCGAAGACTCCAGTCACTGCAAATGATACCTGCATCTTGATGAATCTCACGGCATATGACTGCTGGGTAGAACGGGTAGCGAAAAAATGGAAAGACGTGGGGACACCGGCTGTGAACTTCAAGACTATGTCCTTATCCAAACAGACTTCGACTGCTCAGTATGTTGAGAAAGCCCTGGCATTGGAACTGATGCAGGACAATGTTTTTTCAAAATCAGAACAGAATTGTTTGCCCCCACTATCTTCATCCTGGGTTCATATTGTTTCAAATAATAACTAATCTTCCAATATTCCCATCATTCCTTCACCGGGTCAACCCTCTACCTCGCCTCCATTTGGCACGCCAGGAGTGGAAAAGTGGCAACCATGATACCTTGGGGAAGGTTCGTATGTATGAACCGAACCCACCGGCAGCACCAGAGGGTTCGGGATTTGACCCATCCAAGTATCCCCTTCGTCTTGTGAAAATGGACGTGGATCAAAACCCTACTTTGAAGGGATGGTCGAAAATCAAACTCAGCATCCCCCCTGCAGCACGTGCGCGACACATGGAAGATCCAATTTACGGCCCATCATGGAGAGATCTTTTGACGGACTTTGACAACAAGCAAATTCAAGTAATTTCAGACCATTTTTATGTCATGCTAGGTACCAACTACTGATCCCAAAGTAGTTAATGTTCTATCAGTGTTCGCATATAGCTTCGATTGGTGGGGAACTTGGTTAAAATTGCGTGGCCCAGGTATGGTGCCCAGTCAGCTGCTGATTTAAAGGCCTCTTTGGCTCTTGCCAAGACAGAGAAAGAGGAAACACCACCCAAAGAGCCCTGGACAGGAGAACCCGAAAGTTTGGAACAACTCCTAGACCGATACATCCTCGAAGCCAAATTCAGTGCTCGCACCGCTGGTGCCACTTTGTATTTGATGCAATCAAGGGCACGCGACGGGACTGTCACACAATGCACTGAACATCAAAAACTGAAATTGTTCATTGCCCCTAGGTGTGAATTTCAAAGAGGAAACAATTTTCCGGCTTTCGTAGAACCTCCAAGTAATTACCATCAGATCAAACCAATGTTTTCCCACATCTTTTTATATTTTTCTAGATACTTGGAAGGTATAGGTTGGTCCGATTATTCTTATTATAAATATTAATTCTATTATATGTTTATTACCTGGTGATTATGTTTTATCCGTTATCCAGGCAATGACCAATGATCCAATGGGGTCCTTCTAGGTTGCCCATGCGGACTGTGTTCTGTCATCCATGGAATTTGTCATCGCGCATGGCTCTTCTAAATTCCTGAAGAGCGAGAAGTTTGCAGCCCTGAAAAGGCAAGAGAAAGACAGTTCTCCTGTCTTGTTTAAGAGACTTACTGTTTACTGTCTGGTTCGGTTATCAAGAAAACACTATGTCCTTTCTGACGCTTTTCAAATCCACCTTTTAACTCTGACATGTGACATTATTCTCAAGCACTGGTCTTGGGACTACCCCTTCGCTGGCCGTCATGTCGGCCGTGTCACCTATCGAAGCCATTTTGGCATCACATGGGTTTGAGCAGGACCTAGAACTAGCTGTTTCAAGAGACAATTTTGACAAAAAAAAATGTCATCTTTTTACATTTGAGATCTCCCATGACAAAAAAAATTGACTGCGAGGACCTCACCAGAGTGAGTGCAGAGAGCCCAGGGGCTCTCACAACACCACCGGTTCGAAGACAGGCCAGGGCCCTGAAAAACACCAAACAAAATTAAGTCGATTAGATTCAAAGATTCACTTTATTTTTGAACACTCAAGCCCAAAAATCACTATCATCCTGAAAGGATGGAAAGGGATTATTTTACTTTGAGAATATCCCAAAGTCCAAACTTAAGGGGGATTGATTTGATGATTCTATGCACAAATCTTGTGATACTCGTGGAGTTAACTCTATGTTGAATCAGATCCAAATATTATTTTGCAGGGGTGATGGATTTGATGATGTTGGTGATGATGGTAAAGATCGTTCAAACCCCACACAATCATTGGTGGCTTCCTATTTCTCCACTGCCAGCCTGTTTCCCACCTGAGGATCACACACCTCAAGCTTCTTCTGCCGAAAAGGCCGGCTGAATCCTGGCCAGTTGAGGGTTTAGGCTGCCCATGTCCAGCCATTTGTCAGGTATTAGGAGCTGCCAAGATCCCAAAGCCTGAGGAGAACACAGAGGTCAAACAGAGGCTGAACTTCGGTAACAGTGGGCAACCAGAAGCCCCTCCAGCCAAACCTGACACCGAGCCAGAGTCAAAGGCAGTGACACCAGTGCCGCTAACCGTCCATGGCTGCACTCTCAGGTCTGACCCCCAAATGTCGGCTGAAAAGCTTCAGAAACTTCAGGAAGAACTTGCTGCGGCCAAAGCAGATCAGAAAAAGAAGAAGAAAGAAGAAGCACAAGAGAAGAAAAGGACAAAACCCAGAAAGCCGAGACCGAGAAGAACGAGCCATCGAAAAGAAAGATGACTGCAAAGTCGTCATCGTCCAAAGCAAAAGCAGCCCCCAAGACCAAGAAAGCCAAACTTGAGGCTGAAGGTGACGACGCTTTGGATTCGGAGGAAACAATGAGTAGTGGAGAGCTGCCTTCTGAGTCGGAAGAGGAAAACTGTGACAAGGCCAAAGGGGATGCAAGGGGTTGCGGGTAAAAACCTAATATCATGATTCTAAATTCATTCCAAAAAAGTTATGAATGTCTAAATTATTTATGACCAGTTAATACCATTTAAGAAACAACTTTCTGAGTGGTTGGTCCCTCTCCACATTCAGAGCTTGGTTCACGGCCCTTTTCCCAAACACCCTTTCCAGTGCGCCAGGCCACGCCTGCACCGCAGAAGAACCCAGATCAGCCCAAACGCCGTCCTGGAAAGAATGCTACCACGAATGCAGTGCTTGACCCGGTTGAAAAGCGCAAACGTGCTTTTGGGGTCAAAAAGTCCCAGGTTGAAAACAAGGATGATTCCACTGAGACACCAAAGGTCGAGGAGACCAGGCCATCGAACAAGGAGGTTGAAAAGAAGGATAAGAAAAAGAAAAAGGAACCGAAGGAAAACAAGAAGGAGAAGACCCCGAAGACGGAGAAGGAAAGCAAAAAGAAAGATTCGGGCAAAGATGGCACGACGATGAGCACAGTTTCAAAGGCTGCTCACTCCATAGCTGATCGGAAGGCAAAGGAGAAGGGCGACCAAGAGAAAGAAGACACGAAGGACAGGAAATTGAAGGCACTCCGACATGCTGTGGAGAGCAAAGAAGATGAATCACCAGACAAGAAGGATGAGGATGACTATAAGGAAAACAAGACAGAGAACATGACAAAGAAAGGCAAGAAGGCAGAGAAGCAGAGCAAGAAGTCAGCCACAAAGAAGGAGGCAGAGGAGCCAGAGGAGGATGAAGATGAGAAAGGCAAGATGATGGCGGACTCAGATGAGCAGACAGAGAAGCCAGAGAAGGATGAAAATGATGAAGACAAGGTAGAGAAGAGGGCACAGAAAGGCAAGAAGGCAGAGAAGCCGAGCAAGAAGGCAGCCTCAAAGAAGGAGGCAAAGGAGCCGGAGAAGGATGAAGATGAGGAAGACAAGGCAGAGAAGATGATTGCAAAGAAAGGCAAGAAGGCAGAACAGCAGAGCAAGAAGGCAGCCTCAAAGAAGGAGGCAGAGGAGTCGGAGAAGGATGAAGATGAGGAAGGCAAGACAGAGAAGATGATGGCAAAGAAAGGCAAGAAGGCAGAGGAGCAGAGCAAGAAGGTAGACTCAAATGGGAAGACAGAGGAGCCGGAAGAGGATGAAGATGAGGAAAACAAGATGATGGCAGCCGCAGATGAGCAGACAGAGGAGCCGGAGGAGGATGAAGGTGAGGAAGGCAAGGCAGAGAAGATGGCAAAGAAAGGCAAGAAGGCAGAGGAGCAGAGCAAGAAGGTAGCCTCGGATGAGGAGACAGAGGAGCCGGAGGAGGATAAAGATGAGGAAGACAAGATGATGGCAGCCGCAGATGAGCAGACAGAGGAGCCGGAGGAGGATGAAGATGAGGAAGACAAGATGATGGCAGCCGCAGATGAGCAGACAGAGGAGCCGGAGGAGGATGAAGGTGAAGAAGGCAAGGCAGAGAAGATGGCAAAGAAAGGCAAGAAGGCAGAGGAGCAGAGCAAGAAGGTAGCCTCGGATGAGGAGACAGAGGAGGCGAAGATGGATGAAGACGAGGAAGATAAGGCAGAGAAGATGATGGCAAAGAAAGGCAAGAAGGCAGAGGAGGAGAGCAAGAAGGCATACAAGAATGAGAGAAAGGATGGATGCAAAATGGAAGGAAAGAAGCGAAAGGCAGAGCCTGAGGAGATGGATTCAGAGAAGAGTAGCGCAGAAGAGACCAGGGAGGAGAAGGTGCCAGAAGTCAGTGCTCGAGGCAGAGCAACTGGACGCCGCAAGAGAACACCGAAGTCGAAAGAAGAAGGGGAGAGCCATGACAAAGATGACGGCAAGCCAAAGAGGACACGCAAAGGGAAACGTGCGAAGAACAATGAGGACAACGGAGAGAAGACACCAAAGAAGGCAAGGCTTTAAGAGCATTTTTTTTCACACCAAATGTTGCTATGATCCCAAGCTGGCATATTTTTGAGTCATCAGAAAAAGAAGGAACCAGCCAGCCACTACTTTCACTCTTTCACCTTCGATCTTAATTTATACTTTCTTACTAGGCCATCACGATATATGAACAACAATGATCCCTTGACCCCGTTCATTCCATCTGGAGGCCAAACCTGGTGTCAAAGGTCGCAAAGGTCTTCGTGATGTGTATTGGAAGCACATTAAGGATGCGAAGGCCCGTTTGGCAAAGGAGCACCCAGAGCTGACAAAGACCCAAGTTCTGGAGATGGCCCGCAAAGAGCACAGGTCCCAGTATTCAAGCAGAAAAGATCGTCTACATTCTGTGATGATGATTAAATACAGTAACATTCATTTTAAACTACCCTTGGCCCTCGGGTGGTTTTCTAAGGTGGAAGTCACACCCTGACCGTGTGAGTTCGATGAAGAACATGACCAAGAGTGAACTGAGCCGACGCCGCCTAGTCCGCAAGCCCCCTTCCCCTCTTGGAAAGCCGGAAGCTTCCAGTTCTGCCCCAGAGGTCAATGATGATGACCCTGATAATTCCGGGGGTATGTCTGACAAGCCCGATTCGGATTCCGATGCTGAGTGAATCTTTTGTTTGACCCGTCGGATTCCAAGTCCATTTTGATTCAAACGTCGAAAAAGAAGAAAATCAAATTCAACTTGAAATTTGGTATCTCGTGGTTCCACCCCAATTTGTCTCATGAGCTGATGGCTTAGATCTTCAACACTCATGGGGAATTGAGTGTTTTTTGCCGTTAGCTTGGAGTGACCGTAGCTTGGAGTGACCATGGCCGTGGTGGAAGTGAGAAAATAGTTGCATCCAACGCATGCCCACTTCGAAATTTATTTCACAACAGCTGGAACCTGATTATTCGAGAGGAGTCTTTACCATAGCCCCAAAATTTTGAAAATCCCAAATGCCAGGTGAAATCAGCCGGACAATCGTTTGCCAGTGGACATCGGAAGACAACATGGTGGTCCTCGAGGTTCCTGACGACAATGAAGCCTCCAAAGCCACCTCGGACAGCGACAAGTGCACGTGGTCGGAGCTTCTTCGGGAGATGGAAGATAGTGAGGTTCACGATCCCACCATCAATTCTCATGAGCTATTGGCACCCATGACAGATGGTGGTAAGGAACCAAGTAAGATTATTGCAACATGCAACACCAACAAAATTATGATATGATCTTGGATTGAAGAATGAGTTCTCAAGGGATGGGGATCAAATTGAGGTGACCAGCGCTACATCATCAAGCCGAAGCCTACGCCCATCTATTTCAATTTCAATGCTGTGACTACTGGCCACGAATACACCAACTGTGCCAGTGCCTTCAGTCGAGGACCATTCCATACCAGGTGCCATCCCTCAAAGATAATTCAATATTCGGGGTTGCCATTTGGAAGCCATAAATGGCAATAAACATCATGATGATTTTTGCCCCTAAGGCATGTGAGCCTATTCCATGGTTAGAGTCAGTAGCGACACATGGCCGGACCCACCATATTCCTAATATGTTATATATTCAGAATGATTCGGAGTACTATTTTTCCCCCCTACATGGGAAATAACCCGCAAAGAGTTTTATCAAATAGATCCTAATTTGACTTATTATCACATTCCATCCTGTGTTAGATGCCTATTATATGTTTTCCATTCAGTCTCATTTAGAAATAAAAGGCACGGCCAAAACGCTCCGGTTGTGCCGTCTTTGGGCGCCCCATAGAAGGCTTCATTTTCATAGGTCGAACATGGGGACATTGTGGTGAGATCTAAGGGATTAATACTGTTTCATACTGATTCTAATGTAATGGTATGAAAAGGATTTTAAGTTGGGAAAAGACTCAACTAATGATGGGGGTGTAATTGGATAGTTTGTTGGGGATATGATATCATATGGATAAAAAATTGTGGATGTATGATATAAAGGGAAATAGTGGTAACATCTGGTGATATAAAATGAATATAGTGGGGATAGATTGGGGTTTATAGCCAGCCACAATATATTTGGGTTTGTCCAAGGGTAAAAAGGTACAACCATGTGTATAACCCATGATGGTAGCCTTCTTTTGCGGCCTCAGGGAAAAACACGCAATCAATCAAGAACCATCATCATAGGAGTTTGGGTTCCGTGGTTTTAGGCAAAATATATGACCATATATCTACGTGAATATGCATCCCAGCTACTTCTAACCCATTATAACCCATTATGTTGTCTTTCCACCCTGAAACCCTGAACATATGGAGGAGCTCGACGCGAGCCGCGTTCTTGACCGCGTTTGGAGGGTGTTCTATCAAAAAGAAAGCAATGTATCTTGGCTCTGCCCAACTTGTACCCAAACTTTTTGCTGGACAAAATCACCCAAACTGGCCTGTGACCCAACCACACTCTAAGATCCCCTGCTCAACTCAGGAGATTTCGCCGCGCATCTCGCTGGCACATTGGATATCTCGATGCTGTTACCTTTAGATCTGTTGTGATTCTCTCGACCCTTTTTAGATTGAACCATTGGGCCAATCCAAGGTAAGCCGCTATATTTTCTGCCTTCTGATGTTGAAATGCCATCCGGCGCTGTGCTACGTTTGGTTTGAAAAACCGGTGGTGGACGGGGCATGGCTGGCCTACATCAGTCATAAAGCACCATGCATGCTTCATCAAATGCCATTGGGCGAAAGCCAGTCAATGCCAAGATGTCCCCAATTTTGACTCGAACTTTCAGTTAGTCATAGACTGGTGGGTTGCTTGGCTGTGAGATCAAAGTTGGAATAAACCATTTTGTGGGAAGTTGATGGCCATAAATCCACCACAGATTAGTTGAGAGCATAGCTACAATCCTGAGCAAAATCACCGAAGGAAGCGGCCAAAAAAGGTTTGCGGCAACTTGCTGACTCCTGAATGTGTTGAAGCTACTCCTGAATGTGTTGAAATTGCCTTCTTTGGTAAACTGTTACATAACTATTGAAAAAAATTGCCCAGTCGAAATAGTTGATTTACCCATTAAACATGGTGATGTTCAATAGCTACCCTCTGGTAATTTAACATAACTATGGAAAATAATCATTTTTAATGGGTAAATCCACTATAAATGGCCATTTTCAATAGCTATGTTAGTTTACCAGAGGGTATCCCTAGGATATCTCTATGATAATTATCCAACATTATCCATCATGAAAATCATGACTACCCATTATTTCCAATTGTATTCCCACTAATATCCACCATCATAATTTTGCTAGCCGTATCCATCATTATCCATCACTGTCCCACCATAATGCTACCATGTTTGGTCATCACCCCATCAAATACCATGTTCTTTATCCATCATGATCGCATTATACCAGCATTCTCCCACCATTTTTGCTGGTTAAATCCCCATTTTTTTCTGAGTTTCAACTCCGCGGTCCAAGTGGCCACCAGCCCCGAACTCGGCACATCCAAGCGATGGAGGAAACCACGCCGGTGTCGTTTGTCCAGGAAAATGGGCCAGGCTCCCAGGGCCTCCGAAAAGTCGTTGTTTTTCTGGAGATTTCATTGGATTTACTTGGATTTAATGGTGATTTCACTGGATTTTAACACCAAAAATGGTGATTTCACTGGATTTTAACACCAAAAATTGTGATTTCACTGGATTTTAACACCAAAAATGGTGATTTCATGGGATTTGACCAACAAAAATGGAGATGTCTCTGGTTAAAACGGGAATCGTGCGAATTTCACCAACAATCATGCGTGTAAAAACCATGTGGGGTCATGAAAAGTGTGGATTTCATGGGATTTCACGTAGGAAAGGTCCATCTGTTGGGAAAATTTAAGGGGTTCTCCATCATCAATGAGATATTACTAAGTCAATCCACGGTTGAAACTATGTTTGATCCTACTGTATTGAATATGGGGGGGGATTCGGGGGGTGTCCTGTAATTTATATTTTTATTAATGTTCCTCATCCACCAATTCTAGGAGTCAATGATGGACACTGATTCACATGGTGAAACCACAGGTTGTATTTTACATCAAATACCAACCAACAAGAGATTCAGTTTCCAAGAAATGTCCTCGCTAAACAGTAACACTAATAATTCATCATCAATTTCGGAGTATCTAACCAGCCAAAATGGGGATGGAAGTGTTACAACTGTTACAATCTTGTCCAATACATGCTAAGGGTAACGGGAATATGAATACCCTCTGGTGAACTAACATAGCAATTGAAAATCACAATTTTTCATGGGAAAATCCACTATAAATGGCCATTTTCCATTGCTATGTTAGTTCACCAGAGGGTAATCAATCTTGACAGTGGAAAGCCACTGGAGATCATAGAGCCAGTGGAACCGACCAGAATCATTACTTCAACATCTGGAGTCTTTCAAGGCCTTGATTTAGCAACGAAGTTTGAGTATGTCCCCAATTCAATCCAACAAAGGGGTACCCCAACCACCCTGTGGTTTAAAAAAAACCAGGCCATCTCCAACTCCAACGATGCAAGCAGGCCGCTTCCCTCGCAAAGCGGCACAGCTGCTTCTCTTCCACACTTTCATCGTATACATCCCACCCTGGTCCGGCCAGGATTCCCACTCAGTTGGCGATCTTTGATTTCACCATCAACCTATCATCTCGGCTAACTTTAGATACACCCTAGAAACCAATGGCACCGATTGTGGAAATTTAGGGGATTAAGATAAAACATAATCACATAAATATTGGCTTTAAGAAATCAGCCCCCCCCAAAAAAAAACTGCCCCAGGATTGTAGCTACTTAAATACCAATTATTGATTGGTTAAATTATATTATTGTCATTTTGTTGAAATCCCGACAGAAATAGATCATATCTTCACTGAAAGTGTTATAGTTAACCCGTTCATGTCCATCATTTATTGACTAGACACCTATGAATATATCCATAAATATTCATATCCCGCTAATACTAAAGACCCCCATTCTATGGTGCGGAACCATGTGGTTTCATCCCCTACTAAACCAGGGTTTATGGGGGGTCTTTAACATTAGGGGAAGGGAAAAACCTGCATAATTAAGCTGATGAAAGCTGGGAGATGGTCTAAAATGTTCAAACTGATCAAAACTTGTAACTCTGTTCATTATCAATCATGCATATACCCATACAAATATGTTCAACTAAATGGTAGAATGGGTTTGTCTGAAACCAACTACCCCATTCCATCCTGGATGGTCAATCATCAATTTCCCCATGAAGGGATAAACAATATGTTTACCATGGATCATTAAGTAATGTCCCATTAATTGGGATGATGATTTGGATAATCACAGTAGTTACTACTATTTATATCTATTTATTACTTATAGAACGCATAGTTTAACTAGATTTGAAGCGTATGCTCTGGTCGCACTAGAAACCTCAAATCCATACGATTAAAAAAAAACAAATATGGTATACATTACAATCCCGTAATGCTCCAAACACCTTCTGAGACTGTATTTGGGATTGGCTTTTGGGACCCAAACACCTGCAATAAATGATGTTTGGATAGGGTTACACCATATTAGTTGGCCAAATTTAGCCCCAAACAAGAAAGTTTATATTGTTATTATATATATATATATAAATTGCATTAAATTACACTGATTAAACCTTTATTGTTTGGCTTAGATCCAGCATGTCTACCCCCCACCAAAAATCACCGATTTCACCACCAAGCCCTCCAGTCCTGGTGGTTTCAGTAAGACCGCGCGGTCCACCAAGTCCCGCAGCACCGCTGGGCCGTTTTTTGTAGCGCCGGTCCCCGAGATCGTAGGCCTGGGCTTGGAGGGGTAGGATGGAGGGGTTCAACCATCAGAAAGATTCAAAAATGAGACAATCACTGAAGCTAATTAGAATCTAATCTGATCATATCTGGGTTGGTTTAAAGGAGAACTTTGGTGAAACCAGTGTTTTCTCACCTTGGTGTTTCTTGTAGTTATAGGTTTTTCCTTCAAAAAGTTCAAAGAAGTTCGGGGAACTTTTCAGATCTTCTTAAGTTCACAAGTTTCTGGGAATTGAGAAACTGTTTTTTTCCTCTTGAGGAGGAATAAACATGTGTGAAAAAAGGTGTTTGCCATTGTGAATGATTGATAAGGGATCTTCAGGGTATAATGCGGTTGCAACCGTAAAAACAGCTGGGTGGGGCCGTACATGGCCGTGGGTCATTTCACCTCGGTACCACGATATCAACATGCTGTGACTACTTGGTAACCACCCGGTCATAAGCCAGTTATGGGATCATCTTTGGTCTTAGGTGATGATCATGAAAGAATTCACCAGGCTTAATTATTCACTGCATCATTATATAATTGTGTATATATATATATATCCATAACATTATATAACTCTTATATTAAATAATATATATATATATAAATACAAATGACCCAATGATATATAAATCCGCTTCATGTATTATAACAACCAGGCTTATGAACCAGTTACGATCCCTGGGATGATCCCCGGCATAGCACTGTCCCAGGCCTCAGCATGCCTTGGGCGCGCAGGTCTAGGCGCGCTGCACCCAGCAAAATCCAGGCGCATGAGGTGCGCAACATCCGCCTAGGCGCATAGGTTGTTGCTGGGAGTCCAGAAACATCTCATATGGATGTTTATGCCGAATATGTTTTTTTTCCCTCACTTATGTGCATAAAGAACAAGCAAGTGGATTTGGCTATGCAAACTTTATTGAATTTCATCATGTTCGATCCAAACCTCAGCAATTGAGGAAGAGACGCAACAATTAACAAGGATGTTCGTGAATACACAATATGTGCATACACCGCTATCCTCAACATCTGTCAACGTGACTCATCCTGAAAAACGAGCTTACAAGCCTCATCAGAAATGAGAGATAGTTGGCGGGATGTTCACCAAGGTACTCGTATGAAATGACACCCTCCGAATCACCCAAACGAACCCCAAAAATACATGTGAGATATCCACTCAAACAAAGAAACAAGATTTTGGATGAAAAAACATCACCCTCCCCCCAAAAAAAAAACACCAGGCATACTGAACCATTCCCCAAAACCTCCCCAGACCTCCCCAGAACCGGCCTTGAGGTGCACTGGAGTTGCCGGGTCACCCATAAGACACCCAGCAGGCTATCAGCATCCTAGCAATGACAGGTGGAACTGCTGATGGAAACAAGGGAATTCATGAGAATGATGGGATGAAATATGTGAAGTTAAGATAGAGAATGATACACACAGGGATTTCACTTCACTAACAATAATATCAAAAGAATACAAATGGATACAGAAATCCCATTCCTCTAATATCAAACGCCCCGAAAATGATTCCAAATATGTGTCAATCCCTGTCTAAACCATCGTTTCTAGGGGGTGTTGAATGGGATTACATTCGGAAACTGATCTGTACTGAATTTTGTCTAGCGATTGAGCCATTCCAGATATGCCCAGGCCTCCTCAAAAGTGCCTTCAGC